CTGACTTCAAGGTCGCGGATTCCGTCGATGAATGTCTGAACCAGGTTCCCTTCAATGAGCGCAGGTACAGACTGGTATGCTTTTCGAACCATCTTCTCCACCTCAAGGGCCCACTGCTGCAGGTTTTCGTTGCTGCGTTGCACGCGATCTTTAAGCTGCGCGCGAAAGACGTGTTCCAGGTGAGCGTCACCATATCTCGCCTCCAATGCCTCAAGGAGCTGCTCGTAGGTCACTTTCTTACCGAGAGCTTCCAACACAGTTAAGGCTTGGTCGCGCAGGCCTAAGGTGAGTGCAGTCATGGCCTGGCTTTTATTCCAGCCGTTTGCCTCCATGACGGCCTCGAACTGGATTTTGTAGGCCGACCAGGAAGAAGTCCCGTCGAACGGTGGTACCTTGAACCCACGTAGCGAAGGTGTAGTAGCTACTGCGGGGGCTGCAATTCCATCTCCAAGTTTTAGTTCATCCAGCGTTTTCTTAACTTGGTTGATTTGGGTCTCAGCTTCCGACGGGCGGTTATCATGTTGAGCAACCTTATACTTCACCTCCCTTATCTCTTTCCCGAAGGTAGCGTGAAGGTCCTTCATGAGAAGCATCTGCTCTTCCCTATCGCGTTTGAGCTGCTCTTCTAAGCGACGGGCCTGTTCCTCCTGTCGGCGGGCCTGTTCATCCTGTCCGCTCTGCAGCTGCTCTTTCAACTGACTGACCTGTTCCTCCTGTCGGTGAGCCTGTTCTTCCTGCTGCTCTTTCAACAGACGGGCCTGTTCCTCTCGTCCGCGCTGCAGCTGCTCCTGTAGCATCGCCATCAGAGCACCTAAGTCAGGTGCTGCAGGTGTAGGAGCTACTAACGGGCCCGCAGCCTCCGTGGCTGGCCGTTGGCCCGCCGACGTCTGCGGCGTTGCACCACCAAATCTCCTCTGGTCCGTCTCCTGCTGGCGTTGACTTCGGGTACGGACACCCTCCGATTCCTCCTTTGGTAAAATCAGCATGATTTTATCCCACTTCTGACACCAATTGTTACGAGCTTGAAGTTCGTGACAATAAAAATTGCCGATAAAATTACCTAAATTAACACTTTAATTTACTTTACACAAATTAAAACTTAAAACACTAATAATTAAACACACTAATTCACTTTATTCCGCTCCGAAGCTTCGCTTGTCTCGCCAAATCCAATACTGCCCCGATCGCATCTTGCAGCGCCTATATATACGAATTTGCAATGAAGCATCCGGAATATTCAAGTAAATGCGCGCAAAGCGACGAGTGTTCGAGTGTAGATTTTCTAGAAACTTAGTTCTTCGGTTTGAGACTAGAAGGCGCTGTCGATTGAAAGATTTGTGATGTCATTTTCTGCAAAGCTCCCCTCACGTTGACTTATTCACGCAACAATACGAACTTACATATGTCTTTTATGTATATAGAAACTAAGGTTAATAATTTAAATTTAATGAAATAGGGTCGGCAACTATGTCTGTTATCAATTCTGACAATTATCCTAACACATTTTTGTTATAAAATGAACAATTCATCTGCATTAACACTATTACCCCAAAGAATAATGCCATATTTTAGCCATGAAAAGGCGTACGCGTAATGTGTGGAAAGTGGAGTTTCTAAATTTGTGCTACGATTAATTTGATAAAGCGCATATGTAAATTTAGAGAATTTGCATTTAATTTTTTCAATGTGCGACTTCCAGTTCAAATGTGTATCTACATTAAGTCCAAGCAAGTTGTACGAGTCTATTTCTTCTATTAGGGTATTTTGAAATTGAATAATTTTTAGGGGCGGTTTATTATATGGACGAAATTGTAAAACTTTTGTCTTTTTAATGTTTATTTCTAGATTATGGCTATCAAGCCAATGAGTGGCATTATGTAGTGTATCATAGATAAGCACTTCAAAGTTGTCGTTACTTTTTATAAGTAGTGTCAAGTCATTCGCAAATAATACTGTCAGTGTTGATTCTCTATATAAGCACTTTGGCAGGTCATTTACATAAATAAGAACAGCACACAACCTAAAACGCTGCCCTGTGGGATTGAACTAGTAGTTAGATGTTTCCCTTCAGGACGAATTTTTATTATTTCATTTGTAATTTGTTTGCCTCCGATTATTTAAACAGAATTTAAACCAGTTATGTACTGGCCCGCGGATACCCGAATTCATTAAGTTTTAAAAGTAGTTTATCATAGGGCACCCTGTCGTATGCTTTCGTCATATCAAGTACAATACCAAAAGTATGTTTTTTATCATTTAAATTTTGTAGGGTCATTTGTATGAACTTATATACAGCTAGAGTAGTTGATCTTGATTTTATGAATCCATTTTGGCTATCATCTAGTATTTTTCATACTTTTCAAGGAATGAGTAGTCTATTACACATTGCTTTTTCGTAAATCTTTGAAAAGGTGGGCAATAGGGCTATTGGTCTATAGTTGTTATATACAGAGATCGACTCAAAATATTTTATGTGTCGGAGGAGGTGTAGGCCAAGTGAAGCACAAGAAAAGTCTTACACTCTTATGTCAATGGGAGTTTGATATGATGCTGATGCTACCAGATGATTTTGAGATTGAGAAAGAAAATCGCACACACAACACAAAATGAAAACTTGATCTTCATACCTTAAGAAAAAAATAAACATTTATTATGTGTAATTTTATATTATTAAAATAAAAAAAAATTCATCATCATCGACACTTGCGTACGAGTTGTCACGAATCGTTCATGTTGCAATGCAATACTTTTTCTGCTATTCGTTTATGACGTCATCAAGGTGTCGTCTATTTTTGACCACGGCGCCCAATGCACTGATAATCTATGACGCGCTAAGTATGCGCCAGAGTTGAGATATTAGATTTATTATGCGAAGTTCATTTGATGAAATTTTCTTTTATTTATGTAGCTGATGATAGTTTTATGTTTCTTACCTTTTGTTTTATTCAAATATCAATAATAATTTAAAAAATAACACGTTTGCGTTTAATTTTGAATAGTTTTCAATAAATCTATGCCTAAGGCATTACAACACTAGCGGTCAAACATAGACGACTTTGGCGTGCTGGACACAGCTCAGACGAAATCAGACGAAATAAAAATTCGTCTGAGGCTGGACATGGTATTTGCTTAGATAAAAATCCATTTTTTTTAGTTCAATGTTTCTTAGTACTTGTACTTAGTACTTGCTGTGCATCACATGTGCATACTAATTTTTATATAACGTTTCACTTTTATACACGGTAGAGCCATGCTGCAGTTATATTAGTAGTATAGTTTTAGCATGAATGGGTCGGCTCGACCGGGGAAGAACCACATTTTCACAGAATACCAGCGTAAAATAGTAGCTTTATGCTGCTGTGTTTTTTATGGTGAGTGTAGAGAACCGGAGACCCTTTTTACTGGAAACTAAGCATTCCATCTTAGTCCTCACGGGCGACAACGCATCTGCATTTTGATTTTTAATAGAGGATAGATGTAGATGTCTATGGGCCGCAGCAACCACTTACCAATAATTTCATTTGATCAATTAATCAGGTGGACTGTGTGCTCGTTTGTCACCCTATCCTATAAAATAAAACGTACTTACCTATCCCCGAATGGATGAGCGCGTATTCTACTTTTTAATAAAGTTATCTCTGATTTCCTTTACCAACTTTTTAGTTATATCAGCGTGTAGCGTAGTGTTATCCTGTTACGGAAACATTTCTATTCAAAAAATCTTCTTGGGTTGTAATGTGCCTTCTTTGTTCCGCATGATATATCAAAAATTGCTTCGGCTTAGGCTCATAATGATGAACAAAATTTTCATCTTCAAAAACCAATTAAGTTTGACTATTTGTCGCAGATTTGATTGTCTCTACAGCCGGTCCCGCCAAAATCCAATCAACGCCTTGCAATCATAGTTTTTTCCCAGGGAAAGAGCCGCCGCAGAATGAGGGCATATTTTAATAATCAATGGTGATATATGATGTGATCGTTTTTTGATGTTTGGTAAATATCCTATACCCTTAAACGAGCAATTCTTGTATATATATATATATATGTATATAATCGGAATCTCGGAAACGGTTCCAACGATTTTAATACAATACAAAAAGGTAAATTTTGACACTGAGCGGTCGCGAAGTCGTAATGCCTTGGTACGCGTCCTGTCTTCGGTCCGATTTCTTATTCAAGTTCCCTTCTTTTGTGAGAAAATCTATTATTTCGAGCCCCTTTTTTAGTATTTTTTAAAAATACGAAAATTTTAATTAAACTAACTACACTCATGATTTTTTATTCAAATAACAAGTTCAGTTTTTTCTGTTATGTCAATAAGATCAAAAAATATTATTCATCAGTATGTAATTAGTATCCAAATGTACTCGTAATTACAAAAAAAAACCGAGCAAAGCTCGGTCATCCGGGTACTACTATTAATCCGTGTGAGTATAAGTGACTTCCTCCCCTACTCTTAATCTCCTTATTCCGCAAATTTATGACGCGGGCGAACTGGTACCCAGCTACTCAAACGCTACTCAATTTTAGGATGCGGATGTCGTTAAGTCTCGTGCTACTCATATCACTATAAGTCAGTGACTGTAACTTTCTGTATTAATTAAGGAGCTGGCTTTAGTGAGGTTGCAGCAAGGCGAAAATTTAGTGACGTATTTTATGTGTTTTTGAAAACTACATTGACATGAAAGACATTTGAGGGGAACATTTAAACAACAAAATTTATACTATTATAGTTGTATCACGAATGGTTCGAACCGACCGGGGAAGGACCACACCCTCATAGAATACCAGCGTAAAATAGCAGCTTAATGCTGCTGTGTTTCGTGTGGTGAGTGTAGAGATCCGGAGACCCTTTTTTAAAACAAAGAGTAGGTTTAAATAATAAGACAATATTCGATTATATTTGAATGAAATGCATACTCCCATTGATAAACAACACTTTTTAATTAATTCTCTCACTCGTGTATAAATTGTAACATCTAAACAATTTGCCAATTGCTCTACACAAGAAAAGCCTCTGTGGAATCAGCACGATGTTCACAATCTGAAAATATTATACCACAGTTAATGTACCTTTTCACTTGGATTTTTACAGTAATATGATAACCTATATTCACATATACATGTTATTATTCGCTGAAATTTGATTACAATATGTTAAATATATTCTGATGAAAGAAAACTATTAGAATGTCATTAATAAGGTAAACAAATCAGAGATAGTTTTATGTATGTCTTAGAGATTGATTTTGTAATTTGTAACTAAATAAAATTGTATAAATTCCGTTAGACTTCGTCGACCATGAAGCCAGGCTTAACATTACACTTTTGGGCCTTCGTTAGTATCGGTAAAGTGGGCGCGACGCGAATGGTGTCAGTCAAGTTGTTATTTGACTTACTCTCGCTTGATGTGCTCGCTCGGAGCTGATCCTCGTCGACTAACGTCGTCGTGAACCTACTGGCTGGAACTAACGCGTGTGAATTGCGATTACTTTTCTGTGCGCTACTATCGCTATATCTTCTACTTCCATTGTTCAAAATGTCGTTTATTTTTATTATATTTTTATCTTTTTCTTTACTCTGCAAATTCATCGTTTCCAGATTGCTCCATTGGAGGGAACGTTCTCCTTTAAAACACTTATTTTTCACACCAGTTTCATGGTTATAATTTTTACTACTAGAGGGCATATCTTTGTAAAGATTTTCTTTAGTTTGCTGCAAATTTAGTCCGTATAGTTCTGTGGAGGTACTGCTGGTCAAAGGTTGGCAGCTGTACAACTTCATGGCTGTTCCAGAACTATGTGGCGTTAGATCATTTTTTATTATTCTCATTGAAGAACATGCGTCTGTGGATAATGTATCTTCGTCGTCTTCACCCTCTGCGCTCTATAAAGCAAAAAAATGTGTTAAATAAAAGTATTAAATATAAATGATTTCAACGCAAGAAATACACACATAATTATTTACAATACAGAATTCATTCTTGAAATTAGAAATAGAATAATTGCAACTATTCGTTATTAGGGTTTCTACCCGCACAAAGTTCCATACTATGACACATGACCCCCACTAGATCATTCCAACAACGACGAAGGGTCGTTTCATAAGGCACGTTGCGTCAGCGTTGCGTTGACGTAGGGCTGTTACTGCGTCGTTTTACATAGTAATAATCATAGTGTTCACATGGCGTTGACGCAACGCACACACAACTGACTGAAAGCCCCCGAGACGAAGGGGAAGGGGTGCACTGCTTGCGACGCGGGAGCAACTGCGCTCAGTTGTTTGTGCGTTGATAGTACGCAAGTTAATTTTGTTTTTCTTTGAGTTTAATTTACAGAGTAAAATGAGTACCATTAAAAAAATGATATGGATTACTATTCGAAGTGAATGAAAAATGAAAAGATATTAAATATTCGAAACTGAACACACTCATTCTAAAGAAATTATAAAACTTATTTTCGTACAATAGCAACTCATGATATTCTAACAAAAAAAAAAAACTGTCCATCACTATTTCTTAATGAAATCAAGGGACAGATCCAATACCGTCTTGTGATTTTGCGTCGATTTCGGCGGTGATGTAGTAATATGAGCAATGCCAGACGTCTTTTTCGATCCATGTTTCCGAATAGACTGCGATGTATTTACACAATGCTCACCGTAACTGTGCGTTGCCGCTGCGACGACGGAACGTTACGACTGCGTTGTAGCAACGCTGCGATGACGCAGCAGCAGTGTGGCCGGCAAAGCGTCAAAATATTTGCGTTGCGGCGACGCAACGCAACGCGCCGTGTGAACTCACTCGAACGCAGAGTAGCGTGCAATGACCGGGTCGACAACGAATTCACAAGACTATTTTTCAGGTACCAATACGCTCCAAGGACGGCACGCGATGCAATACGCAAACAAACGCAAGTTGTCTAAAATAATAGCAATCATTACTGATTGTATTACAGAAAATTTTCTAAATAGCATAATATTGAAATTTTGATGTAAATAATTTTCATACATTGACAACACTTATGCGTCAAACTGCTTTTCAAATTAAGCAATATATTCCACACGTGTTTTCTTAAAAAAAAAAAACTTAAAATATGTAAGAATGTAATGATATACAATCCCAAATCTATTTTTTTTAATAATTTTCCTCTGAATATTCAAAATGCCCTATTAAGGGTTAACTTATTTTTAATATGGCGCGTGAAACGTGAATTAAAATTAAATTAAAATGAAGCGCAATAACATTGGAAAAATTAATGTCATTGAATGATAAATTAATTTTTGGTCGAACAGTCGAGGCTCGTCCAGGTCCACTTTCTGTATGGCCGCTTCTGGAAGAGAGCGTGCCTTAAGCGTTCCGTTGCTCCATCCCGAATTTCCTGTCTTCAAGCTCAAAGTTTTCTCTCGTGTCTAGTTTTGCGTTGAAGCCTTTTATCAATAGTGGCTTTTGGAGGAATGCATGGCTCTAAAGATATCCTCATAATTTTCTTCCACCTCTTCATCGGGATATCTCAGCGGATAGGTCTTAAATTGAACATGAACGAAACAAAGATCATGTGTAATGTCCATGTCACACCTATGCTGGTAGTTGTTGGGAGCATTAAGCTCGATGTTGTTGACAAGAAGTTGAAGTTGTTGTACGTTTACCTGAGATAATAAAAATAGTAAAAAATAAAAAATAGTCCCACTGGGTAAGTCCAACTTCGACCGAGAGGCCAAACGACGGATTCAACTCGGCCGGAAAGTATTCGGGAGATTACGACACCTCTTCTCGTCAGGCACACCTCAAAACTTCAAAACTTGATTGTACAACCAGTGCGTGTTGCCAGTGATGACTTACGGATCTGAGACGTGGTCGTTCACTGCTGGTCGTATGAGGAAGCTCAGGTCGCTCAGCGAGCTATAGAGAGCGTTATGCTTGGGCTTTCTCTGCATAATAAACTTAAAAACGGGGATATCCGCAGCAGAACTAGAGTAACCGACATAGTCCAACAGATTAGTAAGCTGAAGTGACAATGGGCGATCATATAGCTCGAAGAACCGACAACCGATAGGGAAGAAAAGTTCTCGAGTCGCAGCCTCGTACCGGCAGTCGAAGTGTAGGCCGTCGCCCCGCTAGATCGAGTGACGACCTGGTAAGATATCCAGGAAGTCGATAGATTCAGGTGGCTCAGGGCCGTGCCTTGTGGCATTTCCTTGGAGGAGGCCTGAACATAGGCCTTGTAAAGAGGATGTAATGATGATGATGAAATGAGTAATCAAGTTCCTTTACGGCATGTCAATCTGGACTATAAAATCTAGTAACGTTGCAAATGCTGTACTTTTGCACTCGTTGCTATTAAACGTGTTGAGACACCATATCGCTATATAAACGCCGGTCTTTTGTAGCCGGAGTTGAGAAATGCTCCACCGGTGTTAGTATTTCACTTACCAGCAGCTCACGGTCAGTGCCGGAGCCGGCCGTGGCCTCGTTGCTGTTGAACTCCAGCTCGGACGCCGCCGACACCGGAGTCACGTCGCCGCTAATATAGGAACCTGGACAATCGCATAGCTTATACTTAAAATTTTAATTGTGAAAATATTAAGATGAGGACTAAATGGTGTTCATTCGCATTAACTATGCCCAGAAAAACATTCTATAAGCCATAAACGTGATATTTTAATAACAATCTCTAAGTTTTTTTTCAATGAATTTTGAAGACTGCATTAAATGATTTTGCATGCATTCCTAAAAACAGTACCATGCAAAACGTTTGCGTTAAAGGAATGGAAGTAAGTAAGTATGTTATTTACAACATGACAAAGCTTTTTGTTGCCGAGTGCTACTTATAAGCGACGATATTGTGCAACGTATGGCGCTGTCTTATTGCCATCGCTCGCACGATGATGCGATGCGATTTCATCGTCCGATGAATCCGCACGCGCGATTTCTTCAGTCGCATCGCATAATCGCACGACATTCAGTAGGACATTCCGCAGATATGACTATGTTTAAACACACGGTCGCACGATCATTTTTGTCGGACGCATCGCATCATCGCGCAAGCGATGACAATATGACAGCGCCTGTGTTGTGCCAACGTATTTTATGGAAGTTAAGTATTTAATGAGTTTACGGTATCTATAACCAAAAATGGTTAATTTTATGAGATAACGTTATGTGGTCAGAGGTCAAAATGACCACAGAACAAATAATGTACGCGCGTTTAAAGACTTCAATTAGTGGTAGGGTGTTGTAGATTTTATTGTCAACGCAACGAGGTCGCTTTTTGAAAATACTAAGGTTGTTCATAAAACATTTTATTTCAGATTTTTTTTTGACGGAGCAAGTTTTAAAGTCGATGGCAACAATGATGTTAGATAGTTACCCGATGATCATGGTACAGTTGTCGATAAAAGCTAGTAATTCAAACAAAAAATTGGTATACCCATATAATAATAAATATGGATATTATATTGTTTATGGTTTATGTGTTTATGGATATAGGATTAATGTACGACCCGTCTTGTACAATACAGACTAATTCTTACTATCATATTTGTAAAAATATAATACACGTGCAAGTTTTATTTTATTTCATTGATACGCGTTGAAATTTTAAATGAACCACCAAAAAACTTTGCATAGTAGGTAATCCTACTGTCTTACTAATTTCACGGGAAAGCAGTCTTTAAGAAAGGGGCTAAAGCTAAGGGTAAAGAGTGCTCTTGTATTTGTGGCCTGTTAACTATTTTCCTAATTGGCAAAATAGATCACAATTTTATGACAAATATTTTTTAAGATTGAATATTTCTAATATCTGATATATTTCTAATATCTGATCATGAATTATAGTTATTAGATTAGATTGTCGTTTATTTTCAGTTTATATTTTGGTTTAAAGATACTATAAGTGGCAATTATATAAAAAGTCCAGGTTGTTGTAAATTAAGTAAAAAGAGTGAAGCGTATTAAAAATGTGCAAAGAAATATCAATTGCACAGACAAATTGTTTCTATCTACCCTAACTGGTGCAATTTATTAGAACCCATTTTCATAGCAGACAGTAATTTGCGAGATGCTTACAATCCGGTATATGGTGAGTAAAATGTGGTATACCTGCTACATTGGTGTGCGGCATGAATGGGTGCAGACTGACGTCGAACGCGCACAACGTCGCCGCCTCACCGTCCCACTGGGGGAGTTTGCTCGGCACATTTTTACTCCAATTGCTACTGGAATCCATAACAATTTAACACACCCACTGCCTTCGTTTTCACCGTCACTTCGAACCATTATTTCATACTTCACGGAATTTTCGCGGCTTTCTATCTCTTTAGTGTGACGAATATTCACTTGGCGCTTCTTACACTTAAGAATTGTTACAGCATGATAATTCACTTTCTTACAAATTTTGAATGTACAGTTTGAAGTGACGTTAAATGAAAATGTGCAAGACCAGTGATAGAACCACAAAACCACAAAAAAAAAAACACATTTACCATTGAAGTGATATGCACTACGTATAACAGACACCGCGAACAAAATCTGTGCGGTAGTGCGGGCCGCGTGAAAGTTGGCACTGAAGAACATTTTATGGCAGAGACGGAGTAAATTTGAGCCCATGGGCTCTAACGCGTGTTGCAAACCCAAGTCTAGGCCCCTTCTAGTACGCAGCACATATTACTTTAATGTCATTTATAATAAAACTTAATCAACAAGAAGCTTGTGAAACCCTAGCAATTCAGTGACTCATACTAAACCTCATAAATAGATAAAAAAATATTTGTAGTGACATGATTATTTTAAATACTGTTATGATATATAGTGTACGAAAATGTTTTCAATTACATTCCATAGCGTTAAATAATTAAATATCTATTATGAAAGGCATTCAAATGGTACTGCAACTTATGATGGTTAATAACCGGTTATTTTAAAATGATAAAATGACAGCGATGAATGATCAATGATAATACAGCCTCATTTTCACAACGGTGAATATTATGAAAAGAAGTGTTTTTATATTTAAAAGTTTTTTAGATGGCAGAGTAAATTTTAAATATGTATATTTAGCAAAGATACAACAATTGAAAAGTGTGAAAAATATCGATTTAAATTTAAAAATTATAAAAAAGTGGTAAAATCACAAATTTAATCATGTTGTTTATTACGTGTTAGGGAAGTAAGATAGATAACACATTCTTTTATGTTTTAATATTAAATAAACAAACGTTTAGGTAAACATGGGTCCCATGTTTAAGTAAAAGTTATAACAAAAAGTATAATAAAAAAAGCAACTGCATTACTTGCCTAATATGTCGTAAAATGTGACTATGGGATATTGAGCTTGTGATTGAGCAGGCTAGCAAATTATCCCTTTTTTCACAATTTTCCATTTATAAATATTATGTACATTTTGGTTACACGTGGTCCGAGTAGTTCACAGCTCTTCAGACTCAGCGATTAGCGCTTAGATCAGCATTTGGGGATTACAGGTGTGATGTAATTGATTATTTTCTGCTTTAATTGTTTACTGAAGGAATGTCTTAACTTATCAGGTACTCCATTTTAAAAGAGAGCATTGAATGAGCATGAGAGAGGAATGCTTACACTAGTAAAATATTGGGATTGGTACTAACACTAATTAACTAATGATTTCTTATATTTACGCGAACACTACACATTGATTAAAACTACTTTTACGGATTTAATCGCGTTTATTTTTAATTTTAATTATTTTTATTTTTAATTCCCGACGTTTCGGGTGCTTTACAGCACACATGGTCACGGGGGATAGAGGTGACTGACGTCCCGATGTCATTGTTAAACCCGGAGTACCTTCAGCTTTTTTAATTATTGTTTATGGTCCGATCTATGCAAAATGAACTGACTATGTCCTGAGGTCTTGCAGTGGTATGATTGGGTTTAGTTTTAATTTTATTGATTTATAGGGTCCCAAGCAGGTGATAGTACCCAGCCTCCTTCTCTATTGAAATTAGGATGTTTTTTAATTTCAATAGCCTCACCCTTTCCCGAGGTTTATGTCTATCAAACTGATGTAATGGTTGGGTCCGTCTAGGATATGATCACAAACTGCAGACTTCCCGGAACGTTGATGTTTCACATCAGCTATATGTTTGAAGTTTGTTGTTTGTCACCTCAGTCCCCCGTGACCATGGGTGCTGGAAAGCACCCGAAACGTCGGGAATTAAAAATAAAAATAATTAAAATTTAAAAAAAAAACGCGATTAAAACCGTAAAAGTAGTTTTAATCTGTAGTTAACTAATTATACAGTAATATCCCCTTGTTATAAGTTGGCAAGCCAAACGTGGAACCAGTGCGTTCGTGCGTGTTGTCGTGGTGTGCGCGTACCTGTCGCCGCTGCGCGCGTCGGCGTGCGCGGAAGTGGGCGAGGAGGGCCCGGTCGACGACACGCCGCTCGTCAGCTCGCCCGACGACGACATCAGCGACGACGGCCCGCTCCAGCCTGTGCCTGTAGCGTGTCGTACACGTGCATTTTAATGCCGGATAATAAAATGTCTAATTATAATAATGCCCTCCAACATGGAATAATATTATTTTACAAACTTTATTCCGTTTAATTTTAAATAATTTTTAAAGCCCGCCGTTTTGGTCACCGGAAGCCCATGGTCACGGGAAAACTCTCTGTGACCATGGGTGCTGCAAAGCACCCAAAACGTTGGAAATTAAAAATAAGTATCATTAAATGCGACAAAATCCGTAAAAGATTTTTATATTATTTTTTTTACGTGGTAAAGCCATGCTGCAGTTATTTTAGTAGTATAGTTGTAGCACGAATGGGTCGGCTGGACCGAGGAAGGACCACGCTCTCAGAGAATACCACCGCAAAATAGTAACTTAATGTTGCTGTGTTTCGTTTGATGAGTGTAGAGAACCGGAGACCCTTTTAACTGGAAACGAGGCATTAAATCTAAGTCCTCACGGGTGACAACGCATCTGCATTTTGATTCGTAATCGAGGATAGATGTAGATGTCTATGGGCCACAGCAACCACTTACCATCAGGTGGACTGTGTGCTCGTTTGTCAACCTATCCTATTTAAAAAAAATGCGCAACAAACCGAATTTCGGTCATGGCGGCCAGTCTCAATGGAGAAAAACCATCTAAGTAGGGCAGGATTAACCGAGCGCGCGCAAATAACAAGTACACTCTCTTTTACTCCATTCCCATAGACCGATGGCAAGGTAATTCGATACGACTGGAAAGATCAGTGTAAAAAAAGCAAATACTGCTATTTGGCGGCAGAAGCAGGTAAGAAGCTACTTACCTAGACAAATCTTAGGCAGAAAATGAATCCTATCAATTAGTAAAATTATTGGTAAATACCAATCGTGGTGCCTGTCTGCATACAACGAGTGAGACCCGCGTCCAGCAATAGCTTATATAGACTCATTTGACTGCCTCGTTGGTCTAGTGGTTGTAGTAGTGCGACTGTTGATCATGAGGTCCTGGGTTCGAATCCCGGGTCGGGCCAAAAATCAAATGTAAGTCAAGAAATTCTCAGTAGCTGCCCGTAGTCAGGAAGTTGGCGGTATCTAACCCCCGTGCCTCGGAAAGCACGTAAAGCCGTTGGTCCTGCGCCTGATATCTCTCCTGCCGTGTCGGTTTACCGTCCCATCGGATTATGAGAGTGAGGGAGTAGAGAGTGCACCTGTGCTTGCGCATACACTTGGGCACTATAATCCTGTCCTGCGCCAATGGCTAGTCTCCGTTGAGGCTGGCCGCCGTGACCGAAATTCGGTCTGGAGGACATTATTATATAGACTCATGACTAAGAACAACTCAGTAATTTTTGTCAAATAAAAATATTTTATACGTGAGTAAAACCACGTTGTAGCTCATATTATGGCTGCAAACCTACGAGCACTTAACCCTATAGAGAAGTAATACATGCGAATTTGCATTATTATCAGGTAAAATATAAATTCGAACTACGAAAACAAATCAAGATTAAAATAAAGGAGTTTAAAATAAACTTTTAGTGATTTGCTGAACTTTAACATAAAAAATTAAAATATTTAATACGTGGTAGAGCCATGCTGCAGTTATATTAGTAGTATAGTTGTACCATGAATGGGTCGGCTCGACCGGGGAAGGACCACACTCTCACAGAATACCAGCGTAAAATAGTAGCTTAATGCTGTGTTTCGTATGGTGAGTGTAGAGAAGCGGCGACCCTTTTTACTGCAAAAGAGGCATTCTACCTTGGTCCCCATGTGTGACTACGCATCTGCATTTAGATTTGTAATCCGGAATATAAGATTACCATCATATACTCTCTTTGACACCATACCCTATAAAAAAAGTCCCCTTAGGAGATATGCAAGATAGTTCGGCTCAAGGTCGAGGCACTACGAGGCAGTACACAGAGGTTGAAAAGAGAATAAAAAAGATTTTCACATTTATTTATTATATTTATATTACTAAGTAAGTACTATTATTGATTTTTAAAATAAATTAATTTGCAATTAATTTTTTTAAATAAATTAATTGCTTTGTATCGTATAGTGAGTGTAGAGAAGTGCTTCTCTTTTTACTGGGTATGAAGCATTCCAACTTAATCCTCCGAGGTTATAAACTTTTTTTATTCAAAATAGATTATAAATAATACTTATTGAAAGTCACTCTTTTGGTTCTCTATCACTGGTCCGGAAAAGAACCTCTGTTCTGGGAAGAGCCAGCAAGAATTCCCAAGGGGATTTAAAACAAAAACAGCTTACAATCATATGTTACACAATTAATAACACAAAACAAATTAGAAATAGCTTAGTAGCAATCACTTTATTCCCAGGGGTAGATGAATGAATTCCTTATTATTATGAAAACCCTTTTTTTAGGCAAACATTCTTTAATAAAGTTTTTGAACTTTGAGGAGGTCAAAGTTTGTATATTTTCAGGAATTTTGGCGTAAAAGCGTAAACATCTGCATTTTGAAAACACATCTTTATTTTGTCTTTTCATAAAGGACACATGTAAGATTCAATTAGCTTATAGTATTTACTTAGGACATCTTTACTTCTATAAGTAAATATTGAAGACAAAAAGCGATTGTTTTAAAGTAAGAAAGGTAGGAAGGTAAGTTGGAGGCGGTGGTGAGGGTATACGTACTGCTGGTAGGCGAGGGCCGCTTGGCGGCGGGCGTGAGGGGCACGGGCGGCAGAGGCGGCGGGGGCGGCGCGTGCGGCGGCGTGCCGAGCGGCGCGGGCGCGGCCGTCACGCGCTCCAGGAACGCGTCCAGCTGCCGCAGCGACAGCGCGTTGTGCAGCGTCTCCAGCGGACGGATCGCCGGCACGCCGCCGAAGCCCTCCAGCGCCGCTGCGACCGCAGTTAAACGCTTTATTTGTCATATTTTTCGCAGAGCAACTTCATTTCGCCTGTTGAGCGACATGCATCACGTGCCGGATGTAAGGTGTTGAAAATTTCAGATCTTAGGTATTTTCTGATGTATTTATATCGTTACGACAGCCATTTGCGTGTTATCACATGTGTAAAGAACCGAACAGAGACAAAGCTTCATACATGCGCTATGAGACGAGTGTGTACGTGAGCACTTACAACTATAAAGGCACAACTAATTATTCAAAGACAATAAATATATAAAAATAAAATATTTACAGTAAACAGTTTGTAAACGAAATATTTTATCATACGCGTATAATACAAAGCTGATAAACGTTTCATTTGTTTAATATTATCCACCTTTGCCAACTCTATCAGAATAGGTAAAAATTTTGCACTCTACTTAGAAGCTTTATCTCTACTCAGTTTCTTTACTCGTGTGGTGTTCGGTTTCTTTTACTCATGTAGTATTCGGTTTCTTTACTCATGTGGTGTTGCTTCAAATTGTATGAAAATATACCCGAAGATAAAATCAACATCCTCCATCACTGTGTAGATGTAAAAATTAAAGCCCAAAATAATTGATGCAAGTAAAACTCATGTTGTCTACAAACAAAAAATCCCTATTCTTCATTTAACATATTGTTAAGAGTTTAATACTTTCCCATTGAAAAAGCACTATGTTTACATGACACGCAACAATGTATAGTAATTGTAATTTTAACAAAAAATTAAAACATCCTACCTGCATTTTCATTTGTTCATAACAACCTATCAAAATTCACTGCTGAACGCCTTTGATAATCTCATAAGGGGGATTTTACAGTTCAACTTTTATGCAAATAAGAATCACTAAAATGACTCAGTAAAATGCTTAAAGTATTTATAAACAGGATATAAAGCTTGTTAGCGAGTCGGAATCGTAAGCGCGGGTGTAAGCAGTCTCGAAATCACAGAACATTTATACTCCCTCGAAATGGCAAGGGCGACGTTATTAGTCACGGGTGCAAATTATATCTTTCGACATTCTTTATTTGAATTTAAGATACCATGGTGAAATATGCAGTGCAAAGCTGCAAAAACAATTTACGGAAGTAAACTAAGAAGAACAATATTTCTTTTATTCGGTATATAATATTTAAGACAATAAAGTTTATAATAGATAAGACAACACTGATTTAACAAAATTACTTAGGGCGTCAAAGGGAAGGCGCGCGGCGGGGACGACACAGTATGTCCCCAGCGCCACGCGATTTATGTTTTTCCCGGATTAGAGGTAGTGCTACGGCAAGCTGTGCTAGAATATTCTTTAATAACGTGACTTCTTTCGTAATAATAATAATATAATTATAGTAATAAAAGTTCAGATCCTTTGTATTCCTAACCTATATGAATCAATGTCTACTTTTGAAAAGCTTTTTTATAGGTGCATAATAAAGGTAAATACGGTTAATACTTTACTAATTTCAGATTTCTGAAAAGCCGCGAATTGGTAAATAAATGGGTACCGTATATACCACCACAATAAAAATTATAACAATTATTTATGATGCATATTCAGTGAGGGCTCTAATGCAATTATAATTTGATTTAAACGTATTTATTAACACAAATGTTATCAAATATAACTTATAAAATTATTTGTAAAATTTGTTTGTTATATTGTAACTACATAGGCAAATGACGTTAATGTGGTGAAATTAGAGGGAAGGACAAAATAGGAAATTCACTAATATATATCGAGATGTGTAACTCATGTGTGTGCGAAAATGATCGTATCGTAACGGATATATTAATTGTAAGTAGTTACGTATTTATGGTAGAACGATGAAGTTCTAAACTTAATGATTTCGTAGATGAGTAATAGTAATAATAAAACTATGAATAAAAATATCTGCACAAAATGGTAGTATACTAACACTGACTTGACGTGTATACTTTATAAGTAGGTAAAAAGTTGCTCTTACTGACCTTATTTCTTCCTTTAAGAACCGAAAGAAACTGTCTTTATCATTCCTTGAAGTAGAAAAGCATCTAAATATAGCACAATATACAACCATCAATGTACACACAATTATAGGTACCTATCTTTTAAATTGTAAAATCGTGTGTTCGCGTCAGGTTCGTCCGATTACGTGCGCGCCCTCGTTACAAGAATCAGTGTTGTCTACAACGAAGTGCGGGGCGGAGTGTGGTATTTGAAATGAGTGCGGGCAGGTGAGTGGCCATTCTGTACGTTAGTACTATTATGTATTCTGTGCAACAAACTAAATGGCGGCGCGTACGGTGCTGACAAATGTGCGTTCGGCTTTATATTCTAAGATAAATTGGGATTGTCTGTCATTTCTGCTGTTCGAAGGATCAAAAATAGGCCTCTCAATAGAGAGTAATTGTGCTCTGTGAAATAAGCACGCAGTCGGTGCAAAATTTTAATAATAAATAAATAATTATTTTAGATAATTATTTCATCAAAGTAACTTACCTGTAAGTGTCCTTCGATCAAAATTATATGAGGTACTTTGATCAAATAATTATATTCGTTGACGCTTCTTCTGTGTTTGCTATGTAGATGTTTAAATATTTGATTGCCTCGTTTTAATTATTTACTGTCATAAATTATCAGTACCCGGTTGACCGAGCTTTGCTCGGTATTTTTCGCTCGGTTTTTTTTAATTCATGTGTTTTGGAAATTATATTTAGATAAAAATTACATACTGATGAAATACGAATAATATTTTTTGATCTTAGCGACATAATAGAAAAAACTGAACTGGTTATTTGAATAAAAAATTATGAGTGCAATTAGTTTAATTTAAATTTTCGTGTTTTTAAAAAATACTAAAAAAAGGGCTCGTAAAAATAGATTTTCTCAAAAAAGAAAGGTACTTGAAAAATAAATTAAAAAAAGTCGGTCGGTCGGTCTGGGCTCAAACCATGGTATTACAATTTTGTGACCGCCCAATATACCAATTAAGCTATTTGTAATCATTAATAAACTGTCAAAATTTACCTTCTTATTCTAACGATGTTGTAGCAGTTTTTCATTGCCTAAAAACACGGACAAAAAGACATTTTCTAAAAATAAATCCTAGCTAGATCGATTTATTGCCCCTGAAACTCCCTGCACACAAAATTTTATGGAAATCGTTGGAGCCGTTTCCGAGATTCCAATTATTATATATATATATATATATATATATACAAGAATTGCTCGTTTAAAGGTATAGGATAAATATCACTTTACAACAAAACAAACCATAAACATAATATATAAACGTAGATAGTTCATAATTTCCCATTATGAATTTTGTTTATTTATTTTATACTATTTCAAATGCGAACGCTAATATTATTCTTAATTAATAATGGCCTATTATAAAATATGGAAAAAGTTTTGGATGTAAGTTTGTAGTCTTACTGACATTTTCCATATCAATACCACTTCTTTTAGGTCTAATATATATTTTTTTGCATTTTCTTTTTTTTTTTTGATTAAATTCAGGTATGTAAACGGGATTGTGTTAGACTATTTCTAGATTCTAGTTTTTTTCCATCCTATAATCACCAGAAAAGAACCGATTAACTTCACAATATGAGCCCAAATCATAATCGGAAGAATAATAAGTAAATTTCTTACTTTACCTACCACGACTTTAGAAAATAGACATACTGTATATACAGACGAGAGCTAAATGATTATTTTTATGTTTTACATACATAAATACCTCCCTAACAGCACTGTCACAGCAAGGTACGTTTTTACTTAAAAACCAATTCAAAACTTTTTAACTTGGAGATGCGACTCGCAAATTCGGCCCGAAAAATTCACAATGACATGAGGTGTATAGTGTTGCCAGTGGGAGTTCATATAGATTGGGATACCACTAAAAATTTCATTTTTCCCCCGGAAGGTTAAAACTAATGTGATTCGGTCCGTCAATTCATGTCTACATAGTATAGAAACTCAGAGGAGGCTCAACGAATATAATTTGTAAGTGTAGAAATATATATGGGAATACTCTTTGGGTATGTTCCGAAATACAACGCAGTGTACTATCCAATGCAAATGACGTCATGAATAGACGCTATATTGGTGATTCGTTCCAAAACATTGGACAGTATATGACGTCATACTTTTGCGCCAATTGGAAAAGTGTTGGCGATTATTTTGTCATGTTGTGCTCTAAAAATCATTAAATCCTCCTAATGGATATACCATCAATTATTATATAATTTTTTGTATTTGAATAAATAGAAACAAATTCTGGCATGCTTCATTCGGCAAACACACAATTAAAAATTGTTTTATTATGGCCGGATATCCGACACAATATGGCGGCGGCACGCTAGTACAATAAAGTGTCAAACTGTCAAATGATGACGTCATTTGCATTGGACAGTACACTGCGTTGTATTTGGGAACATACTCTTAATCTGCATTGTAAATATCACAGGTTATTTTTATATAAAATTAATATGTATATGTTACAGTTAAAACCCGTTTATAAATAGAACGCGCCTTCCCTAGTTGAAAATAGTTTTTATTAAATGCCTTTGTGAAAACTAGAAATACCTGGTAAAACTAGAATTTACCACTGATATATTTGATTTTCAGATAAAATTAGTTGTCACTTCGAGCTTTAGTTAAAACTAGCACTAGAGAGACTAATTTGGTATTGAAAACAAGGTATACCTACTAAATATTTATTAAAAGTTTTTCACATAAGAATATTGACACAGTTACTTCTGCAACGGCTTCGGCGCTGCGGGAAGTGCAGCCCCTTCGCCATTGCGTAGCAAATCGCAGGCATCTGTGCGAGTCGTAGCGGTTAAGGCTGGTCGCCGAAGCTGCGGATGCGAGCGGGGGCTGCTCTCCCTTCGCGCCTACGGCTTTACAAAAACATTCTAGCGGTAAGGCAGACAAGGCTACGGATTCGGATTTAGTACGGATTCGCCTATCTTATCTATAATAATCGCTCATTCTCATGTCCGGTAAGCAAGCCAAAGTCCAAAGTAACACAATCATATCAAATCCAGAATCAAAGTCTCGTTCGTTTAACCTCGGTCAGAACAGTTCCTATTTTTCCTATTCCTGAGGGATTCCTATTTTTCGATTTTGAAGGCCATAAACTTTAACTTAACCTTGTAGATTATCCTCTCAATGAACCAATTTATAGGGGAGTTCTATGTTTAGCAGTGGACTTAATAGGTTGTTATGAATGAATGAATGAAACTTTAAATAACTTTTAATTCAATAAAAAAAGTTGTACTTCGAAAATATACGGAAATCTTTCTAAAATAATCTCAATAATACATTAAACTCATAGTAAGAACAATAGAGAAATTTAAATCTTACGATAACACGTGCACTCGCGATCATCTTGTCCTGGTACTTCCGTTAGAGATGATGCACATAGATCTTAATAAGTTTGTATTAAGATTTTTGTGCCCAACGTTGTCTGTCGATTTTCTCAATCACTGTAGGCGACTTTAAATTCTGTATTTGGTCAAGAATTAATAAATGAGAGTAATAAATAGCTTTTTGAAATCGGCGACAACTTCCGAACAGCAGGAAGGTGGATGACTTTTAAGAAATCAATTACACAGGAGATACGAGTATAATAATGTGTGCGCTCAAATACAGACCCGTTGTTAATCGTAACGTACTCGTGCCCCATGTAACGTTTATGCGTTAGAATTCGAAGTAGTGTTAAATTCAAAACACGGCGTCAATAACTATAGTATAAATCATACACTAAAATAAACAATTTGGGTTTTGCAAATTTAAAACATCCTTGGTTTGGCGGCTGTAGTATATAAAAAGTATAAAAGTGGTGTTGAAACTTACTGTTGTTGGCGGCGGTGGCGGGGATCATGATGCGCAAGTTCGGCGCCGAACTGGAGCCGGAGATGACGGCGGTGCTGAAGAGACCCGCGGCGCCGGTCAATTTCCCGCGTGCGCCCAGCCCCAACATCTTGAGGTAGCTCATCTGGCCGGCGATGCTGTGCCGCTGGCGCCGACCTACGCCCCACACGCTACAGTCCGGCCACGAGCCCGCGCGCGCCGGTCCGGGCCGGTTAGTGGGAACGGGGCTCCGGCCGCCGCCCGGGTTAGTGCTGGTTAGTGCGGAGCGCGTCCCGCCCGCCGGACTCCGCGCCGGGATCGAGCGGGCCGTGCTCCCGGGCGGCGCCGGTACGTTCAGTATAGGCGGGGCGGACGGGAGCGAGCGCGCCACTTTGTTAGTACGTTACGATACGAATGGGGGGACCGGTATTACGTGACAAAGATGCAAGCGGAGTGTCGTTAGATAGGTAGTGATAGAAAAAGAGAAAACTAATTAGTATTTAGAATATAATAAAATAAATTAATTAATTAAATAAATAAGTCAATTAAATAGACACATATATACATTGTGTGTCCAAGCGTGCTTTAATGTTAACAGATAAAAACAGATAAAAGTTAATACCTATAACCCAACTTATGTGGCGACTGACGACTGTTCGTTAGCCGCGTAAAACACAGGCTTCGATATAACTTCGTTTCTTTTGCGTTCACTTGTGAAACATGTGATCGAAGAAGGAATGTCAGTATAGAAATCCCTGTTTTTCACGTGGCGTTATGTGAGTAGTTGTCACAACATGCAGTAGTGAAACAGTCGTCAAACGCACACACAGCCACGAGGCGGCAAGAGGACACACAACACACAAGATCGCCGGCCAGAATGAGCTACCAAGCGGTACTGATGACCAACAACACTACACACTCCAAAATAACACGTCGAGATATTAGCAACAGACACTTCTCAAACATTATGAAAACCTAGCGACTCTGTATCAAAAATTTCACACGTAACTAATATTTCATAATATATTTGAAGTATGTGCTACAAGAACTCGTACATTTTAATAATACAAAATTAAATCATAACATTCTCACAGCAATACATGTCTATGAATGTTATGAGTAAGATAACAAACATGACTTCTGTTGATTTACTCTGAGGAAAGAATTTTAATGTAAACTTACTTTATGTCAGGTTATCTGAGGAAAAAATGCGATCGAAAACTTTCACCCACGCTTAAGCCTTTTTTTACTGCAAGGCAGTAACTTAATGTTTTAGCTTCTCTCATTGAGTTGGATATTTAAAATTCAATTTTACCTTTTACAATTCAATTATTTTTCTAATCCAAGTATTGTTCAGTAATATTTATTTTACTGTAATAAATTATTATTTAATGAAAATTATTGAATGTATAAGCCATATTATATAAAACGCAAGCCCAACTGCCTTTATGTATTTTTGTTTTTTTCTCCATTATACAACATGTAACAAAAGCTCTGTGATTTCCGTTAAGTACATTATCAGAATCAGTATTCAAACGTATAGGAATAATAATTTTTTTTTTCAGAAAACTCGACCATTAAAATTTTTACGTAATCAAAATAAGTTTTTATTTGCAAATTGTATGTGTTTTTATTATATTTAACTGATACGAGCACCGGTAAAGCGAGGTCTTTGACAATCCTCTTACTGCCGGACAAGGACAGAGGTAATAAAATCACATACAATTTACAATAAAAAAACGATGGAGTTTGTGAAAAAAGTTACTTCTATACGTTTGAATACTGACTATTATAATTTATAATTCATAACGCACTTAACAGGAACCTCACGATTTTTTTTACATGTTGTATAGCCTCAACGTATTTTGACAAAATTTATTTGTCATTTAAGCTTTTATTATACCCAATGTTTCTTAGTTTTATTTTAATATTCTTGTATAATTTAAATGTAATTTATTTCATTTATTGTATAATGAATTGTTTTATAAATACAGTATAATTATATTATTTTTATTATAATACATATTATTCTTAAATTTCAAAAACTTTTTATGCTTATAATTACATAAAGTACTAAGTAGTAAGACTGGCGATTTAGGTTAACGAACCGTATATCTACTTGGAGTGTCGACTGTCAAATCTAACGTCATTTACTGCAATTTACGCCTTAATAAAGCATCCAGGCAATTGGTCGCAATGGAAATCGCTTAAAAACTAAAAACGGTTAACTAAAATAAAATAGTACTAAACAGGCAATAAGAGAGAATGGTTTATAGAGGTGATTTATAATAGTTTCAGAGTGCTAAAGATTACAAAATAAAATTAACACCCCACTAACATCTGTTTACATCATTCCATTGTTAATAACATTAGCGTCATCATTTATGCAATCGGTACTTTTGTCGTTACTATATCGGATGTTAGTCTAAACACCATTATCCTTGAAACCAGTGAAAAAAAAAACGCTATTTTCTTTCATAAAATTAAAAAGTTTCTGTCCGACACCGTCCGTAAATTCATGGATACCCTATGCGCCCGAGTGACGTAATCACTGTAAAGATCACCGCCCGCGCTAGCTACCTACACAACATTCCAATAAAAACACAATAGGTACACATAACCTGTGATGTAACTTTTCCTTCATACTTTCATCCTGGCTTATGAAAGGCAAAAATTGAGGAATTAAGGAAAAATTGAGATTTTAATAAAAAAAATGTTATTCTTATTGAATTTACGTTCTATAAGTGAAACCAAACCACTGGTTTCAAGGATAACGGTGTTTACACTAACACCCTATATAGTTACTCTAGGTAATTAAATGTTTGTAATTCAATCTACCTTCGTACTTTATTTTATATATTTGTAAGTCTATAATCTTAAGCTAGTGACATTTTTACAAATAAATATTTAAATAACGAAAGTTTACTTTGCTAATTAAAACAGTTCGAATGCCTTTGTGACTTAAGCGCCTAACTCAATTTCATTTTAATTTTTTTCATTAACTTAATGTTATTTTCAACTCACAACGAGCTGTTAGTAACAAAAAAATTTACATACAATTAAACCTGGGTTTGTTTTGTTGCACACAGACTTACCGTTATCGTGTGATTGTTTGTGTTGATCGTAGCTGCGCGCTAAAGGCTGCGCTTCCTCGGATGTTTTAGATTCCTTCTCTTCGCTCTAAAAATAATACGTAATTTACAGGAAAAAATAAAATGTAGTCTACAGGGACTTCTGTACTCGTATATAGAAAGAACAACGAGACTAGTTAAAGTACACTCGCTGACCTTTACAGTTGTGTCACGCCAGTAAGCGATAAGCATTCATCATCATCATCATCATCATCACAAGTCCACTGCTGAACATAGGCCTCCCCCAAGGTATGCCACAAAGCACGGTCCTGAGCCACCTGCATCCATCGACTTCCTACATGTCTTACCAGGTCGTCACTCCATCTAGTGGGGGGTCGCCCTACACTTCGCCTACCGGTACGAGGCTGCCACTCGAGAACCTTTCTTCCCCAACGGTTGTCGGTTCTTCGAGCTATATGGCCGGCCCATTGCCACTTCAGCTTACTAATCCGTTGGGCTATGTCGGTCACTCTGGTTCTACTGCGGATATCCTCATTTCTAAGTTTATCACGCAGAGCATCGCTGAGTGACTTTGAGCGTCCTCATACGGCCAGCAGTGAAGGAAAGCATTCATTATCTCTTTTTTGGATAAATATTTTTTGAAATGTAACATCTTTCCTCTACATTTCCCGCAACCTGTAGGAGCAATTTCGTGAAAAGGGACGTAAGTTACAGGGAGCTGGGGGAGTCCACGCTATTTGATTTGACCGAGATGCCACCGCGGTGCTAGTATAGTGTGCTGTTATATAAACTAATTTATATGTGTAAACTACATTAATAAATGTGTTTGCAGCATATTTTTCACTCCGAAGATTTAAATACTTTTGATATATTTCCACCAAAATTACGCTTGCACAATCTTTGCTACTGCGAGGAGCAACTTAACAAAATTGAGCGACTCCAAAATCTCTGTATACGGTTCATATTTGGGCTTCGTAAATATGACCATGTCTCGGAATACCGAACTAAACTCAAGCGGCTTCCAATGCGTTTTCGTCGGAATACTCATATACTTTCTGCGATCTACTGCGTCTTATTTAATATATCAAGTCCTCCCTATCTAAAAGACCGTTTTAAATTTCTTAGCTCTAGTCACGATTTTTCCTTATGGTTCAAATTTTTTTTCATTTTATGATAAATCTTTTGCTGTTATTGGAGTAAGACTCTGGAACTCCTTACCCCAGTCAATTAAAAGTACTCAATTCTTAAATGTGTTCAAGAAGTGGGTGAAGGAGCATTATTTGTCTCTTTAACTCATCTCTTTTTTTCTAATTTGGTGCACCCTACCCGTTATTGTACCCTTTTTCTTATTTTATCGATTTCTTCTTTTGGGTTGTCTGGTAGAGATTGCTGTGTAGCAACAAGACCGCCTTTTATTTTTCTCAAATTATTTGTTCAGTTTTTGTTATATTTCTTTTTTCTTGGCGTACAATAAAGAGTATTGTATCGTATTTACTGTGGATAACAAGTTTCTAATAGTTAATAATGAATTAGTATTCGAATAAATATTTTAGTATTTAGCTTTTTATAAAATTTGAGGTAAATTTTTATAATATTAAATTTGCTTATTACCAAGGTGAGATGTCAGAAGCTAGACGTCATATGCGACTACTAAAAGGCTCGCTTGTTTTTTTTTTTGTTACTAACTTTAATATTTAATTACTATTGATCTGTAATTCATGGTTTTAGTAAATGATCAATGCAGGTTTAAACATCATTTGGAAACAGTTTAATAAATTCATATTTTTCCGCTCGAAAGGAGAAGGGATGTTTCCATACATTCTTGAGACCAGGTGTTAACAAGATGAAAGTAGGATCATCCGAAAGCTTACTTATAAAAAATTCATAGCTGAAAATCTGGTAAGAATTATCAATCTAGGAACTGAGCTATCGTATGTAGTATAAGTAAAAGAGAGGTTATATATTACCAAAAGCGAGCTTATATATTACCTACACTGTAAAAGTCGATTTTTCACAACATCAACATGACGTTGAAACAACGTTTAGTGGTTGGTAGCGTTCAAAGACGAGAATTTCATTAATGTAATCGATTCCTTATTTTACGACATAAGAATTTTTTTTCTCCTTACACGAAAATAAAATTAATTGAACTCCGTTAGAAATAAAATATATTAATTTTATTTCTAACGGAGTTCAATTAATTTTATTTTTGGAGCGGTTATTGAAACCTTAGACGCATTTTTATTCTATTTTTATTCCTTGAATCCGAATAAATAATTAATCGATTATGTTAATACAATCGGTTTTCTAAATTATTTATATTTTTGTTCTTTCGAATTCTATTAAAACGAGCCAGTTTTTACCGAATTCAAAAAGGAGGAGGTACGAGGACGACACTGAAAGTTCTTAGAACTGGCCACTTGTAAACTATATAATAAAAAATAAGTTCAAATTTTGAAAATTGAACTCTTTGCCAATATTATTGTGTATGTATTTTATTAATTTGTCATTTGTTTACGATTTGGCGGCAAATTAAAAATTGTCTGTGTAATGGAAACGTCAGCATGAATTTAACGCAAGAAAATTTTCATACAATGATTTTTTTATGACTTTCGATGTCATTTAAGAGGAGTATTACAAAAAAAACGCGAAATTACAAGGTTCCCTCGTTGAAATTATGTGTTTTCCGTTTGTTGCTTAAAATAACAACTACTTGGTAAAATAGTTCATTTGCTCTACCACAATAAGCTTAATTGCAGTAAAAGTACTAAAAATCTATAAAGACGACAAATTTTGGATTTTGAATATGTTACCCAAGTTACAAGCGTTTTATAAAAAGTGTGTGCGGCTTGAAATTATTGACTCGAGATAAGCTCGGTCAATGCCTTTGCGGCAAATATTTTTATAATAAAAAAAAATATGGTAGTTAGTTGGTTATTTTATTTATTAAAACAGGTTGCAACCGTACTATTTATTAATTTATACCACTATGCTACCGTTAGTAGATATAATCGATTATTATAACCAACATGGGTTAACAATCGATTCCTGCGAAACAATGAAAATATTTATGTGTACTTATTATATTACAATTTATTTTTTACTTAATTATTTTATTCAACGCTAAGGTTCATAGATAATGAAAAATATATCAAATAGATTATATTAAATAAATTAGATAACATAAAAATGACACACCAAAAGCTTTCCATCCACTGAACTCCATCCTGAGCAAACTTGAATAATGGAAGGTCAAGATCGTTTAGTCGCTATACTTACAGTATCATAGTGCAGTCAAGCGTCGGCGCATAGGCAAGAAGATACCCGAATACATTGTTTACAAAAACTAGACTATACTTCTGTGAAGATCATTTTGATGGAAGTATGATTAACATTTAACTATCGTTTATAAAAACTATCATAAGGTTATAGGTATTGCGTGTCAATTTTTTTAATAGATTAGGTTATCTTAGATATTATAACTAATGATTGTAATCATAGATTTATCAAAATACACTCTAACCTGGTATTTTGTCATTGTATAAACAAAAGTTGGTAATAGTTACTTACATTGAAGTTTTAACATTCCTCAAGTCAGCAAAACAAAATCAAGATTGTATGCAATAAATGTTGCCACCATCAATATATTAATCCTTGATAGATGAGTACTTTCTGCTTTTACGAATCCATCTTCTATGATGCCTTTTCAATTAAATTCGAAAACGATAACTTGAAGAATGTCGACCTGTGACGGCACGACGGAATCTAACATGGCGTTAAGAGTTTTGCAGATTTGAGGCACAGATAAAAAAATATTCTCAATATTTAAAGAAATCAATATTTCTCGTTTACTTTTTACAAAACTATCATAAATATATATTTTTTGATATTTTTAAATGGTGTAATATGTGTGCAAATTTAAAGACTTCAAATATCATTAACCTGGGAGTGCGGGCGCGGGTCGGGGGGCGGGTGGCTGCGCGCGCGCAGCTCCTCGGTGAGGCGCGCCGCCAGCGACGACGCCTCGTGCCCGGTCACCGTGTAGTGGAGGTTGCTGCAAGCCGGTAACCAAAGCTAATGATCTTCTGCACCCCAGGTGACGCTACTCCCCACTGAGATCAGTCATCATTAGAGATCGGATAATCGGATATTTACCTAAAGTTATTATGCTCACAAAATATGGAAGCGGCTTCTTAGAATATTTTTATTCAAAATAAAATCTCGGGATTCCGGGATCGTATTACTAATCGGATGTATATTTACTTATTGAACATGATGGTGTTACGTCTGATTCTGCAGACTATTCAAAACTTACACTTGTTTCAACGTAATTTTGCTTCGTCAAAAATCACTTACAATAAAAGTAGGGAAAATCAACCCACAGGGTAACTGTCATTTGTGTCAAACTTGGTTTATTGCATATCACGGTCACGGAGAATACATTTAAATTTGAATTTCTCAAAATCGTGGATTTTTTTCGATAAAAAAGTGCTTTCCATAATAACCAACAACATCTCAACTTCAGGTAAATATGCATCCGAATATCCGATCTATAGTCATCATTACCGCAAAGTCACGTTTTGAATAAAAGTTTTCGTTTTCCAGTGTGTATATTTTGTTCACACACAAAGAAGACGACGGAGGGCAGCTTGAGCTGCGGGGGTGCGGCGGTAGCATAGGCCATGCACCCGCAGTAATACCTACATCGACACTTCGATTTCAAGCATAGTCATGAACGCTTATTTAAAATATTTATATGTAAATATTTAGTTTTATTTTAAACAATTGTACCTCAGTGAATAAACCTATACTAAACATTGATTAAAACTACTTTTACGGATTTTATCGCGTTTATTTTACTATTATTTTTAATTCCCGACGTTTCAAGCGCTTTCCAGCACCCATGGTCAAGGGGGACTTAGATGACTGACGTCCCGATGTCATTGTTAAACCCGGAGTACTTAACAATGACATCGGGACGTCAGTCATCTCAGTCCCCCGTGACCATGGGTGCTGGAAAGCGCCCGAAACGTCGGGAATTAAAAATAATAGTAAAATAAACGCGATAAAATCCGTAAAAGTAGTTTTAATCAATGTGTAGTGTTCGCGTAAATATAAGAAATCACTATACTAAACAGTTAACCTTTTACTTACCGGCTCAAACATGTCTTGATTAATGGTCTTTTAAGCCGGATGTATAGGTTCTAGTTTATATTGTGACTGCGCATTATTATTATTAATAAATAATAATTAATTTTTACATAGTCGTGAAAAAATATCTTAAAAGTAATATTTTGAACAATTAAAACGCATTAATAAGCATAAAGTTAATATACATTCATTTCAAACATTGAGCATATATATAGTAAGGGCTTAATATTGTCTTTAAAAACTTATTAAATTTACTGAAACTGCTTAAATTATTTAAAATGTATTAAATAATAAAAATACAAGTCGATTATTTTACGATAATGAAGATAAATAACATTTATAAGCTTTATATTATAAATGGTGAAATGGTCCAAAAAGTTACTGAAAGTATTCGTGCAATGCTGGGGTGTATTCATGTAATGATTGCTTTTATAAGCAATCAAACATATATATGTGGTAGTCAGGTGTGACTATCATAGTACTGTTGCACAATGTACAATCCCATATTAAGGACTTATGATAGTACGGTCTATGATACAAAATCATTAATATATGTAGAAGGTCTCTTAGATGCATAAGCATTATAATATCAGAATTGTGGCTTGAAATCTCAAATATGTGAAAGCATCATATTGTTGCGTGCGTGCTGAGTAAAACTGCCGTATGAAAAATTATGTATTTTTCCATACATGCAGCAAGTTTATAAATATGTCACCCAAAATCGCTGAGCTTCGTCAGTGAGGTTGTTTATAATCGCAGGTGTCGCAGTCGTCGTAGTCGCTTTCCGAAGTAGAGTTCACTTTCGCGTTCCCGAAATAACTGACTCTCCGATCTCCATCACACGCTTTGTACCCTCCGGACGGTTTCCCGCCTTGTCATGGCTTCTTTTATATTTCTTTCGCTTATTCAATTTCTTACCCGTTTTTATTTTTTCGGTTTTTCTTCCACTAAATCAGTTACTTCTTCTAACAGTAGATATTGACAAGTTTTACAAAAATATTCGAACTCTTTACTTGAAACCATTGTCACCATAGTGTTATCGATTCAACGACTTTTAAATAACTGAAGTAATTTAACCGTTATAATACAGTCCAACACTGGAATGGATTGACTTGCTGGTTTATTGGATTGGAATAATGTGCACCGAGCATTACAGTAGCATTTCAGTCCAGCGATAGATTCCAGTGCTGGAATGCCACTGGAATAATGTAAACCAGCACTGAAATATATCCATTCCAGTGAGCAATGCAGTCCAGTGAGTGTATGCTAGTATACTTTTTCATTTCAGCTCGACCATTCCAGCACCTCTGGAATAGTGTAGACGGTCAATCCACTGCTAGATTGAACATTGAACAGTGAACACGCATTGTTGTAGTTCTATAAGTTTCTCACAATGAAGTCGACCGAAGATCAAACTCCTCAGTTTGTTTCTTTATACAGAGAACATGTGTGTTTGTGGGATATACCCAACAGCAACCAAAAAATATACACACACCAATTACTCTTGCTTTCTATAAAAAACTTTCCCTTTTTTTTATATAAAAAAAAAATTTTTTTATATAGTAAAAAACTCCCCTTCAGAACCAAACATACATCGTAATTTTATAAAAACATAACCATGTGTCATCTATCCTAGAAATAATTTCTGAGGAGATGCAAATTTTCAGAAGGTTTCAGAAGAATCTTCTGACCCCTGCTGTCGCAAAAGTATTGTTGAGCGTTCTTTTATATTTCTTTCGCCCATCCAACATCTCACCCATTCTTCTTTTTTTTAGTTCTTCCACTAAATCAGTTACTTCTTCTAACAGTAGAAATTGAGCAGTTTAAAAAACCATTCGAACTCCTTTCTTGAAACCATTGTCGCTATAGCGTTACCGATTCAACCAGCTTTTGAATAACTGGAATAATTAAAACGATACGATCCATTCCAACACTGGACTAGATTGACTCGCTGGAATATTGGACTAGAATAACGTGAACCGAGCATTAATTCCATGGTAAAGTTTAAAACTAAAACATAAAGGAACAAACTACACGGAATATTTCTATGAAATTGTCCTTCCTATCATTGAGGGTCATCATAGGCGGGAACGTTAAGATAATGAGGATGAGGTCTAAATAACCCTAAGAACCGTATTTTAGTTAAATATTTTATTCGCTAATGCATTCAAGAATATAAGTGAAAATTTGGTATTTGATTTATACAATTGAAAACAATAGCTTATGTAAGATCTTACCATATAGGGATAGGATTTGAAGGCATCAGTTTAGACTTTGCCATACTTTTGAGTGAAAAAGCGTTATCCATATCGTCCAAGCAATCCTGTAATCCACAAAAAATTAAGCATAAATGTTAAATCTTCTTAATATTCATCGCAGTACCTTAGGACTTAAAATCTTCACTCTGTAATCGAATTTCAGGTCTGATATAATATTAAGCTCATTCCACCAGCTTTAAGAGGCCGTGGTATTTTCCTATATTTTTATTCACACAAGATACTACTATACATTGTTCAGTCCTAGTAGTACTATTTACTAGATATAATTACTCAAAATATTTGTCGTAGTAGGACTTTTGTACTATGACAAACATATATATAATTTATAAACAAGTAAAATAATGTTTGAAGTGTAAAATGGAAATGGTTAGTACAAGGCAGTGTAAGAAAATCCATCCACACAATAAATAACCTCGTGGCTAAGATAAGAATAAAACAGAGTAGAATATTTTTATTCAAATACGTAATGTTTCATCACCATCATCATCATTACAGCCCTTCACAAGTCCACTGCTGAACATAGGCCTCCTCCAAGTAACGCCACAACGCACGGTCCTGAGCCATATGCATCCATCGACTTCCTGCATGTCTTACCAGGTCGTCACTCCATCTAGTGGGATAATATTTATTGATAGTCATTTTTATCACGTTTTTATTAAGTCCCTTTTTACTGGAAATAAGACATTCCATCTTAGTCCTCAGGGGTGACAACGCATCTGCATTTTGATTGCCAATTCAGGATAAAATAGATGTCTATGGGCCACAGCATCCACTTACCAACAGGTGGACTGTGTGCTCGTTTGTCACCTAATTCTATAAAAAAGACACTTTCTTGTTTGTCTGCCTGCCTGTCTGTCATCCCGGGTGGAATCTTGCAACTCAAATTTCGAGCACTCCTCAATGATACAAAGTTAAAATAAAAATCACTTGTTTATATGACTGTTAGAAATTACGTATTGTATATTGAATTATTCAGACTGCGTTATTCGAAGAAGCCAGAAACACAGCTAGAATTTGTTTTAATTAAAATTTCACAATAATAAATAATAATGTAATGAGCTCCACGGGAGGTACTACAGGGCTTTACATGAGCCCCACGTAGATACAGCCGCCTCCCTCAACTGGCTACGTTTCGGTGACCTCTTCGGGGAAACCGAGGGTTTTGTCTGTGCAATACAGGATCAGGTTATTAAGACCAACAACTATCGGAGATACATCCTAAAGGATGGCACCATCGACGTCCGTCGAGCTTGTCGCCATCCCGGGGAGTCACTAAGGCATGTCATCTCCGGTTGTTCGGCGCTTTCAACATACCATTAGCAGGTGCAAATTCTTCACCAGGAGCTCGCTCTGAAATACGGTCTCGTGGACCGGAAATTGCCGTATTACAAGTACTTGCCGGAAGCCGTGCTCGAAAATGACCGCGCCAGGCTCTACTGGGACCGGGCCATCATCACGGACAGGACTATTCTTGCGAATAAGCCTGATATTGTGCTGATGGACTGGGCACAGTCAAGGATATTTTTGTTCGACATTACCATTCCGTATGACGAGAACCTCGTGAAAGCCGAAACAGATAAACGAACAAAATATCTGGACCTGGCTTACGAGGTGACCGACATGTGGGGTGGTATGCCGGCCGAAATTATTCCTGTAGTCTTCTCTACGAATGAGCTAATCCCAGTCAGCACCGCTCCGGGCTCAAATGTAGAAGGCGGTGCTCCTAGATACCGCCCGCATCGTCCGCCGGTTTCTTTCCCTTTCCTCCTAACCCTCGGCCGTTTGGTCTCCCCTGCCGAGGGCTTCCATCTGGTTGGGCTTTTATTTATTTATGTATTTTCGTATTTATTTTATTTTAATTATATTTATGTATATTTATCTTTTCATTTTAATTTATAATTATATATTTATAGAACCCAACCAGATGAGAAAACTATATAGATACCCCACATTTAAATAATAATGTCCTCCAGACCGAATTTCGGTCACGGCGGTCTGCCGCAACAGAGACTAGCCATCGGCGCAGGATAGTATTATAGTGCCCAAGTGTATGCGCAAGCACAGGTGCTTTCTCTATTCCCTCACTCTCATAATCCGATGGGACGGTAAGCAGACACGACCGGAGAGAGATCAGCCGCAGGACCAACGGCTTTACGTGCTTTCCGAGGCACGGGGGTGAGACACCGCCAACTTCCTGACTCCGGGCAACTACTGAGAATTTCTTGACGGAAAAACTCAATAATTAGTTTTTATTGGCCCAACGCGGGATTCGAACCCAGGACCTCATGATCAGCAGTCGTACTACTACAACCACTAGACCAACGAGGCAGTATTTTACATTTCTCGTGTTATTTAAAATACTTTTCACTGCCTCGTTTACAATAATATGTAATATATAATTAGTTATATGAATTGCAATAGAACCAGCACAGGAGCGATCACCTTATTGCCAGGGCTTATTTTTATTTTTTTTCAATAGGCTGCGGGACAACCATATCATATATTCTAGATTAAAAAAAAACTTTATTTGCCATGCATAGCAATTAGCGCAATCCGATGGGAGTCATATTCAACAGTATATGAAGCTTTATAAAAAGCGAATTTTATTTTATGACAAAACATCTTACCGGTTGCAGCGTTTCCTGGCTGGCCATTTGATCGTCTTCCCCTTCTTCTTCTTCGATACATTTCACCTCATCTGACGAGCTCTGCTGTGAACATTATACAAGTCATCGCTTCGTCTAAAATGTTGTTTTAAATATTTTTCAAAATAATAACATTCGAGATTTTTCCTTGATTCAAAATCCACAAATGGTAGTATAGTTTCATTTTGTTTTGGTATTCTAAACATCTTAAATGTCGAACATTTTTCGTGTTATTTAAAATGTTTTTCGTTATAAATTACAATTACGTGGGCAGCCTTGTTTCTTAATTTAATAATCAATATTATCGTGCCGTTATCCCTTTCTCTAAATACATATTCTCCAAATTTGTTTTATTACTTACCATTTGAATTGGCATTTTAATTCAAAACTATTGCAGTACAAAAAGGATTTTAAAGGTCAAATGCAAAAACGTTTACATAAAAATATTGCTAGAAAATTAGATTTTTTTATTTTAATATTTAACGATAATATCTTTTTCTATTATTATAGAATAAAAATGCTACATATTTAAAATAGGTACCTAGGTGAATTGGGTAAATGTGGGGTCGATGATGCGACAGTAATGTGATGACCATGTGGCAGTGACGAAACAGTGACGTGGCGATGATGTAGCGGTGATATGGAGATGTTATGGCAGTGAAATGACGGTAAAATGGCGATGATGCGGCGGTGATGTGGTAGTAATGGGGCAGTTTACAAAAAGTAAAATATCACCACCACGTCACCATGTGGCGTGACGGTGACGTGATGGTGAGGTGGCGGCGGTACGAGGCGCGGTACCGAGTTGTTGGTGGTGGAGTGGTTACGGCTGTGCGGTCGGAACCCGGGCCCGGGTGGCAGGTTTTTCTGCACGCAGCAGTTCACGCCCGGGCTGAAGTGCAGCTCCACGTGAAATCTACGCACAAAACGCCACATATTCAATTGATCTTTTTGGTGAGAACAACGTGCTCAAGAATTGTCCTCAGGATCCTGAGTTTTGAAATCAAAATTCTAAATGCGAAAGTCAGCAAATATTTTCAAGAAAAACAGGTTTTTTCGATTTTGGATGTTTTTTAAAGTTCCTTCATCTCTAGCATATATTTAAACCTTTAAGCCAGACAAAACACTTAACTATTAAAACTGCAATAATCTGCTTAAAAAATGTCATAGATATAAAAATTGATATTTAGTGAAAAACCAAGTGTCAATTATTGTTTGAATTTAAATAGATTTTTTGTGATTGATAATAAAACTTAGAAATTAATTAATTGTATAATCGTTAAGAAGAGATTTGACAAACAGTAATCTAATTAGTTAAAAGTTATATAGAATGTTATAAAGTCAACATATGTAACAAATAAACATGATATATAAATTTGTATCAATTATTTAATTTTGATTTATCAATATAATACCTTTCTTCGGAACAAGGATCTTTGGTGGGGTCCTCATACAACATTACAACAATTTGCGACATGTAGTTCAGTTCTGACACCATCGACACGTACTCCATTGCGCGTCGCCACTGCTCATCTTTTAATACCTGTGAATAAGGTAATTTCATATTTTATTTATAGGTTGAATCATATTTTTATTTTGAAGAAAATAATGCTTTTAGTAATAATTGCTGATACAATATACACAAAAATTGACTTAAAAAGAAGTCATTTTATTTGGAATGTTATTTACTGTTCATATATAAAGCGACATAATCCATAAAATTAACCATTCATGAATATGCACTAAATAACATCATTATTTACTTCTAGCGCGCGGTAGAGTCAAGTACGCTCCAACTTAATTATGGCAAGAGCATAAATGGTTCGGCTTGACTGGGAAAACACCATGCTCGCACAGAATAGAAGCGTGAAACTGCATAATATTGCTGCGCTTTGTACGGCGAGTGCAATGAACTGAAGACCCTTTTCACTGATAACGAGGCATTACATTAGTCCTTGACCTCGAAGCATTCCGCATCGCATTTTTTGAAATGAAAACTTCTTTAGCGGCGTGTTACACTTTTTTTGTAATGGGTAAAAAATGTTAAAATCGCCTCAGGACACGTGACCTGATCGAAAATTCGTAAGACGGACAGCGTAGGAGAGGAAGTATCCCCCTCTCTTTCTACGGCGCGGCGAAAATGTATGCCTGCGCTGCTGTTTCGTTTAGGCGGCGCAGGGCGCTTGCGCGAAAGTAATATAAATTGTCATGTTTGTGTACGATAGCGCAATAAATAAATATTGTATTCTATCATATAAATGATAGTACTTTTATACTGATAATTAAATCAATTCGTGCAAAATTATTCCCTAACCATTCCAAAATATCAAAAATGCACAACGTTAATATTCAAGTTTTCACTTCTGCCGGCACTCCCGAAGTGCAACCCGTCGTTTTTTCTTAACCAAGGATAGATGTGTAATATGAATTTATGGGCTACAGCAACCCCTTAGTGTCAGCTGGACATTGTGCCCGTTTTTACTCTTTCTTCTACAAAATGTATTATTTATTTGTTAATTCATTGTTCAATTACTCATATGTATTACATTACGATGTATGTAAATTACACAATTATCAACATTTTTATATAATAAAAGGCCGGGGAAAAGTTTCATCGTGATTTATATACAAATTCAAAACATTTTTTTTTCAAAGTTTAATTACATTTAATTAAAATACATATGTGCCAGTTTGTTCGATAACTTGTCGCCATCATGTAGGTAGAGAGTAGAGATATAATCTCGTTGCTGTAAAAATCTTGGGGATTTTTGATCAAAAAAATGCGACAAGTAGTTTTGACAGTCCTCTCTTAACACTACCCAAAGAACTCTAAAGAGACCGAAACAGGTAAAAATCTGAGTGTGCAAGGTTAATAATATATTATGGTGAATATGCATTAAGACTTCCCAATCAAGCTCTCTCAATTTTTGCTGAGTGACCAAAGATGTGTGTGGTCTGGCGTTATTATTATTAAAGACTACTACTCCTTTTCTGTTGATCAATTCAGGCCGCTTTTTCTAAATTTCATGTATGAGTCTAATTAGTTGTTGGCAGCAGAGATCCGAATCGATGCTTTTGCCCGGCGCGGCGGTAAAAGTTCATAATAAATGATGCCCTTCCAATCTCACCATACACACAGTATCACCTTATTGCGTGTTAATCCGGGTTCCGCTACAGCATGTGAAGCTTGACTACCCTTTGACCATGATCTTTTACGCACGTTCTTGTGGTAGGTGATCCACTTTTTATCACCAGTGGTCAATTTTTTCAAAAATAGTTCGGTTTCATTACGTTTCCATAGACTTATAGATGTATAGTTAGATATATAAAAGGGAGACGACTCACGTCGAGCAGGCCGCCACAGCGCAGCACGGTGAGCAGCGAGTGCACGTGGCTCTCGCTGGTGAAGTACAGGCGCTGTATGTACATAGATGTATAGTTAGATATATAGAAGGGAGACGACTCACGTCGAGCAGGCCGCCGCAGCGCAGCACGGTGAGCAGCGAGTGCACGTGGCTCTCGCTGGTGAAGTACAGGCGCTGTATGTACATAGATGTATAGTTAGATATATAGAAGGGAGACGACTCACGTCGAGCAGGCCGCCGCAGCGCAGCACGGTGAGCAGCGAGTGCACGTGGCTCTCGCTGGTGAAGTACAGGCGCTGTATGTACATAGATGTATAGTTAGATATATAGAAGGGAGACGACTCACGTAGAGCAGGCCGCCGCAGCGCAGCACGGTGAGCAGCGAGTGTACGTGGCTCTCGTTGGTGAAGTACAGGCGCTGTATGTATACAGATATATAGAAAGGATGCGACTCACGTCGAGCAGACCGCCGCAGCGCAGCACGGTGAGCAGCGAGTGCACGTGGCTCTCGCTGGTGAAGTACAGGCGCTGTATGTATACAGATATATAGAAAGGATGCGACTCACGTCGAGCAGACGCCGCAGCGCAGCACGGTGAGCAGCGAGTGCACGTGGCTCTCGCTGGTGAAGTACAGGCGCTGTATGTACATAGATGTATAGTTAGATATATAAAAGGGAGACGACTCACGTCGAGCAGGCCGCCGCAGCGCAGCACGGTGAGCAGCGAGTGCACGTGGCTCTCGCTGGTGAAGTACAGGCGCTGTATGGACATAGATGTATAGTTAGATATATAGAAGGGAGACGACTCACGTAGAGCAGGCCGCCGCAGCGCAGCACGGTGAGCAGCGAGTGTACGTGGCTCTCGTTGGTGAAGTACAGGCGCTGTATGTATACAGATATATAGAAAGGATGCGATTCATCGTCGAGCAGACCGCCGCAGCGCAAGCACGGTGAGCAGCGAGTGCACGTGGCTCTCGCTGGTGAAGTACAGGCGCTGTATGTATACAAATATATAGAAAGGATGCGACTCACGTCGAGCAGACCGCCGCAGCGCAGCACGGTGAGCAGCGAGTGCACGTGGCTCTCGCTGGTGAAGTACAGGCGCTGTATGTATACAGATATATAGAAAGGATGCGACTCACGTCGAGCAGACCGCCGCAGCGCAGCACGGTGAGCAGCGAGTGCACGTGGCTCGCTGGTGAAGTACAGGGCGCGCGTGTATGTATACAGATATATAGAAAAGGATGCGACTCACGTCGAGCAGACCGCCGCAGCGCAGTACGGTGAGCAGCGAGTGCACGTGGCTCTCGCTGGTGAAGTAGAGGCGCGTGCGCACGTGCCGGCCCGGGCTCGACACCCCGTGACTGTATCTGCGAAGCCAAGCCTACTCATTACGCTTTTTTCTTTGGTAATGGAGTTGTACTGTAGTACTTTAGTCAGTATAAACTTTAAAGAAATTATCCTCAAAATAATTTGTTTTAAAACTTCTTCATAATATGTTGACGCTTCACATCGTGAAGTTTTTGGGAGGTTTTGACGATAGCTTGAGCTAGCAGACAGTCAATGATGATAGTATCTCAAGGTACCTAAGCCTAATCTTATCTTGGCGTTCACATCACCGTCGGAGCACTTGTTCATCGTTTCCACTAATAGTTTACATGCGCAGACATTTAATATAAAAAATGGCATCACTTTTTCACGTATCAAAATCTTCTTCGAACCATTATATAAACAATAATACAGGAGCAGCAATCCGCAAATCCACCGGTCAAGTTCCCGCCAAAACTCCCCATTATATTTACGCACACCTTTAACTTTAATAGTGTCCTCCAGTTGCTTATTCTAATTCTACCACTTTAGAAATAAGTTCATCGTGGTATCAACGTGGTAAAGCCACGTTGCAGCTGCTATGGCTTGGGGGAAGGACAACGCTCTCACATAATCATCAGCATCATCATTAAAGCCTTATAAATGTCCATTGCTGAGCATGGCCTTCCCCTAAGGTATGCCATAAAGCACGGTCCTGAGCTACCTTAAACCATCGGCTTCCTGTATATCTTCACTTACATCAGTTCATTTAGTGTGGGATCACCGCACAGAATACCAGGGTGAAATAGCAGCTCAATACTACAGTGTGTCATACATCGGAGACCATTATTCCTGGTAATGAGGCATTCTATCTTAATTTTCACGGGTGGCAACGCATCTAAATTTTGATTCTTAACTGAGGATAGATAGACGTAGATATTATCTATGGGCCACAGCATTAACTATTCATCAGGGTGCTAGTTTATCGCCCGTATACTTTATAAGGCTTTTCATACTATAAAAAACCATTTTTTGATAAAGTAAATTTTATTTTTAAAACTGTAAATAGCAAAAAAGGACTATTCATTTATTTATTAATGAACAATCTAGAAACTGTTCCAAAATCAGTATGGCTTAAAATTTTCTTTACATACCAAATAAACATCTAGATAATAAAAAAAAGTAATTGGTCATAATAGTGAAGAAGGAATAATTTTTTTTGTATTTAATCTGCTCACATCCTGCAGCTATGATTACGGTAGGGCCGATGAGTCCTGGCCAGTCCAAGCTTCGTGCGAATAGTTGTGCAATATATTATTTTGGAACCAGATGGCGGTATAAGGTGACTATACGTCTAGGCTAAAGATTTATCTAACGTAAGCACTCGTGGGGCACCACGTATCAGTGAGATGCGCCTCGGAGGTTGACCGCAGTGGCCTTTGCTTCCGCTGCTGTCAGCCCGGACACATATCGGCGACCTGCTGCGCCAAGCCGCACTGTGATGCATGTGCGGCGGCCGGCAAGCCAGCCGATCACCGGGCCGGAAGTAAGGCCTGCGTGCCACTCGCCAAGGCCAAGGCCGCGGGGAGGGGAGGGCCCTCCGCCGCCACCGCCTCTGAGGCCTCCGCCGCAGCCGCAACTGCCGCCGCCACCGCTGTCACTGTCGCCGCCGCCGCCGCCGCGACACCGACGCCCGCAGAGGGGCCCCCCGTGAAGGAAGCTGAAATGGAATGCCTATAACGGCCCCATTAAGCTTCCTCCAGGCGAATATCAACCACTGCGCCTGCGCTCAGGATCTGTTGCTCCAGAGCATGGCGCAGTGGTCGATTAACATCGCTGTGGTCGCTGAGCCGCATTTTGTCTGGCCTAGGGAGGACTGGGTGGCGGACCTTAACGGCTCAGTGGCCATCATCTCTTCGGCCGCCGCCGGTACCCCGACCCTTGAAGGTGTCAGGAGGGGTCAAGGATGCGTAGCAGCACGGTTCGGGGAGTTCGTCGTTGTGGGGGTGTACTTCTCCCCGAACCGATCCCTCGCCGAGCTCCACAACTCTCTGGCAGAGCTGAGAGCAGTCGTCGTCGGAAGTTATCCCCTCCCCGTACTTGTCCTCGGGGACTTCAATGCCAAGAACTTGGCTTGGGGTTCTCGTCGTACAGATGTGCGGGGTAGGATGGTGGAAGACCGGGCTCTGGAGACAGGCCTGGTCGTCCCAAATCGGGGTTGTGTCCCCACGTGTGTGCGGATGCGGGGCGAGTCGGTGGTGGACATCTCGTTCGCTAGCCCCGCTCTGTCGCCGCGTGCCATTGACTGGCGTGTCATGGAGGGGGTGGAGACCTACTCCGACCACCGGTACATCTGGTTTGACGTCTCCACCCAGCCCTCGAGCGCGCCAATCCAACAGGCCCCGAGTGGTCCGCGTTGGGCGCTGAAGCAGCTGGACCGGGAGCTCCTCCTGGAAGCCTCGATCGTGCAGGCCTGGGTGTCATCCCCGGACAGGCCTGCCGAAGTCAATGATGAGGCAGGGTGGTTCCAGGAGGCCATGTCCGAGATATGTGACGTGGCAATGCCCCGCGTCCGGCCAGGAAGCACCCGGCGTCAGGTGTATTGGTGGTCGCGTGAGCTGACGTCTCTGCGCGAGCACCTGTACGCCAGGCATCGCAGGCTCCGCATTCGTCCACCGAACACGGCAGCCATTGAGGCGGAGCTGTACGAGGGATACAGAGCGGCGAAGACCGCCCTCCGGGAGGCTGTCCTGCGGTCCCGGGATCGGGCCCGTGAGGAGATGCTGGAGACTCTCGACAGAGATCCGTGGGGGCGCCCTTACAAGATGGTGCGGGATAAACTCCGCACCTGGGCCCCCGCTGACGCAGAGTCTCAGGCCCCAGCTCGTGGAGGACGTGGTGAGCGCTCTGGTCCCTGCGCGAGAAGAACATCCGCCCCCGCCTATGGCTCCGCCACCTGCGGTGCCGGAAGCGGACCACCAGGACGACGACGACGACATCCCGGAAGGGACCGGGGTAGACCTGAGAGGGGCGGTACGTAGGCTCAAGGCCAGGAATACCGCCCCAGGACCCGATGGCTTGCCTGGCAAAGCCTGGGTCCTGCCCTCGGAGGCTCTCAGGCCCCGACTGGAGGGGCTCCTAAGCGCATGCTTGGAGAGAGGCCAATTCCCGCTTCGTTGGAAGACGGGGAAGCTGGTCCTCATTCGGAAGCCGGGGTGCCCTGCGGACTCTCCGTCCGCATACCGGCCCGTGGTGCTGCTCGACGAGGTGGGCAAGCTCTTTGAAAGAGTCATTGGAAACCGCCTCGCCGAGCACCTTGCGGGGACGGGGCCGGATCTTGCGGAACACCAGTTTGGTTTCCGCAAGAGGCGCTTTACGGTGGACGCCATCATGCGCGTGAGAGCCCTCAGGACGGGGGATGCAGTGGCCAGAGGGGGGGTTGTCTTGACGGTGTCTCTCGACATCGCCAACGCCTTCAACTCCATGCCTTGGAGCTGCATTAGGGAGGCACTCCGGTATCACCGGGTGCCGACCTATCTCCGTCGTATAGTCGGGGACTATTTGACGGACAGGGCCGTCATCTACCCCGGTCGCAACGGTGAGTGGAACCGGCGAGAGATGTCGTGCGGTGTCCCACAGGGTTCGGTTCTGGGGCCACCTCTGTGGAACATCGGGTACGACTGGGTGCTGCGCGCCGACCTCCCTACCGGCGTCAGCGTAGTTTGCTACGCTGACGACACGCTGGTACTGGCACAAGGGGGGCGTCGTACGAGGCGGCGGCGGAAACTATGACACGCGGGGTTGCGATAGTCGTTGAGAGGATTCGGCAACTGGGTCTCGAGGTGGCTCTGCACAAGTCCGAGGCCATATGCTTCCGTGGTCCTTGGAACAGGCCACCACCGGGATCCTCAGTGATGGTAGGAGGGGTATCCATCGGCGTCGAGTCGACGCTGAAGTACCTAGGACTCGTTCTCGACGGCCGATGGAACTTCGTTGAGCACTTCCGACGTTTGGTTCCCAAACTGGAACGGACCGGGGCTGCCTTCAGGCGGCTCCTGCCGAACCTGGGGGGGGCCAAACGCCTCCTGCCGGAGGCTCTACGCGGGAATTGTGCGATCCATGGCCCTTTACGGGGCCCCGGTGTGGGCGCGTGGTTTGGCGCGGCTTGTCGTCCACCACCTGAACGCGCCCCAAAGGGTGGTTGCCGTGAAAATGGTTCGCGGCTACCGCACGATATCCCGCGAGGCGGCGAGCCTCCTTGCCGGATTGCCGCCATGGGATCTGGAGGCGATAGTCCTCGCACGTCTGCACGAATGGCGCGCGGAGGCACTATGCCGGAGGGAAACCCAGCTACCTCGGCAAGTTGTCGCGCAGCGGACAGACTTCCGGCACGATCTCATGGCGACATGGAGAGAGTGACTGTCGCAACCCCGAGCTGGGCACGCCACTATAGCGGCGATAAGACCCCTCTTTGAGGAGTGGCTTGAGAGACGCCACGGCATCCTCACCTTCCGCCTGACGCAGGTCCTCACCGGACACGGTGTGTTCGGAAGGTTCCTGCACCGAATCGGGCGGAAGGAAACGCCCGGGTGCTCCCACTGCGAGGATGGACCGGAGGACACGGTGGAACACACCGTGGAGGTGTGCCCTGCTTGGGCGGAGCACCGCCGTGTCCTCGTAGCGGCGATAGGCGGCGGCGACCTCTCGCGTCCGGCCCTGGTCGAAGCCATGGTCCGGAGCGAGACGGAATGGGATGCCGTCACCACCTTCTGCGAAGCAGTGATGCTAGCGAACGAGGTGGCGGAGCGGGAGAAAGAGAGAGCAGCAGCTTTCTTCCCCGGCCGCCGCGGGAGACGCTCCGGGCGTCGGGGGCTACGTCGTGGCCCCCGGCCACCGTAGGCGCGGGCCTGTGGACGGCGAGCAATGGGTAGCTCGCCGTCCGTTCGTCTAACGACGACAGGCCGTGTCGATGGCGCGTTTTGTTCCACGCGCGTTTCAAAGAGCTGTCAGCAGCGTGAAGGGGCCCGCAAGGGCCGACGCCTGCCGGGGCTGCGGGCTGTTCGAAAGAGATACCGCGGCTCCGGAACGTAAGGGCACTGAAGGAACACATATGGTTTTTAGTCAGTAAAAGTCTGACACTCCCTTACGCTCCACCCAGAGCGAAAGGCGTCATTAGATGTATGAGGTAACTGAGGGCCGTAACAACGATTAAATATCGTAATCGATTAGTTTCATATAGAATTAAATGAATTTAGTGTACAAGATATTTAACAAAATAAATTTCTAATACAATGACTACCAAATCAATATTTGTCGTTGATAAATGAGTTTGCCGCTCTTATTTTAAAAAAATTACAATAATTTATTTTTTAGATTAAGACATGATTTAATAAACTTCTATAATCTACTAACGACTACTTTAGTCTGAGAAAATTAAAACCTCGTTATAAAATTGAATAGAACTATGTTTTTATTTCTTAATTTCTTACGATTTAACCAATAATCGAATAAACAACAAGATATATACACCTCTATGTGTTAACTTCGTGCTTGTTCGGCAATACTTGGTACGAGGTAATTAATGTGTCTCACTTACACGTCAGCATTGGGTTTGGTGTTGGTGTCGCTATCTTTGTCTCGAGGACAATCGGTTACAAAAGTTTTCGTTGTGGTTTGTGTTAATATTTTTGTAGTTGTTATTATTGTTGTCACGTTGTTTTTAATTTTATTTGTGTTATTTGCAAGTGTTAGTGTTCACTTCTTTCGCCAAACATGCCAATTTAAACACGAACATGCAAGATTAAACTGTATGTAAAACTTTCACACTATATTAAGATATAAAACACAAACAAACTTAATAATGTAAAAATGGCAATGATTTTAAACTATACCTTGGATTTAATCTATTGACAGTCTCTTCACCGCATTCTTCAATGTTCCTTTGCAAATCTGCCCGTATTTTCTTAAGAAGCGGCGTACAAATACCTTGACTGATAGTCAGTTTTTCTTTCATTGTTAAGCCATATTCCTAAACACAAGAATTATATTTATTGGTTTTTAAAATTAAGTCGCATAATACAATTAAGTATACGCAGAATGGAACAGAAATTTCACCAGCTCATTATTCCATAACTGATACGACAGTGCGAGTAATGGAGCGGGCTGTGCTCGTTTTTCTGATAGCGATAGACGTCAGAGTAACGGACATAGCCCAAGAGATCGTTATGCTGAAGTGGCAATGAGTCGGCTATATAACTCAAAAAAACGACAACCTATGGGGAAAAAAAGGCTTCTCGAGACAGCTCTTAAAACAAAGTTGTAAGAGATGCAGAAAGTCGATGGATGTAGGTGGCTCAAGACCGTGATTTGTGGCATTCCCTGTTGGAGACCTTAGTTCAGTAGTGGACTTGAGGTGGGCTGTATTAATCATGGTGATGATGATTATGATAAAGACACCCACAAAATTGCAAGTGACTAAAAGCATTTTCAAAGTGGCATGATGCGAAAAATTATGTGATTGAAAGCAAAAATGTTGATTTTTTGAAAGGAATAAAATTTTCGACAGATGATTCGTAATATGCTGGCTGTATTAATGTTGATATATATTTTTTTATGTTTTTGATTTACACATACTTCCGTCGTCTTTCTCTCGTCTTCGTCACACTATTAAAATCTTAATTAAACAAAATAACAAGAAAAAGGAATGCAAAGTTCACATTTTCTTATAAAAAGTTGGAAGTATTAATAGATGTGTAACAATTGATGAGATTTAAATAAAACTAGTTTTTACGGATTTTACGGCAAAGGAGAAAGCCGATCTGCTAGGCTCTTTCTTTGCGTCTAACTCGACTCTCGATGACGGGGGGAGTACGCCGCCGACCATCCTGCGGTGTGAGTGCTCCAATTCGGAAGTGCACTTCACACAGCGCTCGGTTCGCAAAGCACTCCTCTCCCTGAACATCCACAAGTCGAGTGGGCCTGACGGAATCCCCCCAATTGTGCTGAGGACGTGTGCTCCAGAGTTGGCACCGGTTTTAACGCGTTTTTTCCAGTACTTGTACTCCCTAGACGTAGTCCCAAAATCATGGAAGACGGCTTACGTCCACCCGATCCCTAAAAAAGGCGACCGCTCTGACCCGTCCAACTACCGGCCAATCGCCATCACCTCCTTGTTCTCCAAAACAATGGAGTCCATTGTAAACTGCCAGCTCATGAGGTACCTTGAAGATCACCAGCTGATTAGTGACCGCCAATACGGTTTTCGCCGTGGTCGGTCAGCTGGTGATCTTCTGGTCTACCTAACTCACAGATGGGCGGAGGCAGTAGAGTTCAAGGGGGAGGCATTGGCCATTAGTTTGGACATTGCGAAGGCCTTCGATCGGGTTTGGCACAAAGCGCTTCTTTCGAAGCTCCCTTCCTATGGGCTTCCCGAGAAATTGTGCGATTGGATCAACAGCTTTCTTGCAGATCGGAGCATCAAGGTCGTTGTAGACGGTGCAAGCTCCGATTGCAAGCCAATTAATGCTGGTGTTCCACAGGGCTGCGTGCTATCGCCAACGCTGTTTCTTCTGCGTATCAATGATATGTTGCATACCCGTAACATTCATTGCTATACAGATGACAGCACTGGTGATGCTCTTTACACCGGCCGAGCCAATATTTCTCGGGAAAACGTCTCCGAGTGCCGGGACAAACTTGTGTCTGAAGTCGAGTCTTTGCTGAACAGAGTCTCGGATTGGGGACGACTAAATCTAGTCCAGTTTAACCCCCAGAAGACACAAGTTTGCGCGTTAACCGCTAAAAAGAACCCCTTTGTCGTATCCCCTCAGTTTCAAGGCACTCCCCTTGTTGCCTCAGCCAGTATCGGAATCCTCGGCGTCGACATATCGAGTGACGTGCAGTTTCGTGGTCACTTGGAAGGGAAGGCCAAATTGGCCTCTAAAAAGCTTGGCGTGCTCAGCAGAGCGGGACAGTATTTCATACCGGCACACCGCCTGCAACTTTACAAGGCGCAGGTTCGGCCGCACATGGAATACTGTTCCCATCTCTGGGCTGGGGCTCCCCAGTACCAGCTCCTTCCACTTGACCGCATCCAGCGCAGAGCGGCTCGAATCGTCGACGACCGAGTGCTTTCCGATCGGCTCGATTCACTGGCGCTGCGAAGAGATGTTGCATCTCTTTGCGTATTTTATCGCATCTATCACTGGGAGTGCTCTGAGGAATTGTTCGGATTAATCCCAGCCGCCAAATTTCGTGAACGCACTACACGGCAAACGTCCCAATACCATCCACACCATCTGGATGCTTGGCGGTCCACCACTGTACGTTTCACAAGGAGTTTTCTTCCACGTACAACCTCTCTGTGGAATAGTTTACCACCGGCGATTTTTCCGGACCGATACGACCTGGGGACCTTCAAGAAAAGAGCTTACTCCTTTCTAAAGGGCCGGCAACGCACCCGCAATTCTCCTGGTGTTGCGGTTGATCATGGGCGGCGGTAGTCACTTAACATCAGGTTAGCCGCATGCTCGTTTGCCCCTTCTTCTATAAAAAAAGGAATAAAAGTCACTGACCTTGGTTCATAGTAAACTCACTTTAACAGTCTTCTTTGCGTATACTCCAAATCGACTTTAACACAGGATGTCTTGCGATTAAGTGTGGTTAGTTTCATCCCACTTCTGAATCTGTCAGCTTTACTCCAATAAAACCACGACAACTCACTTAGTTAACTGTTTAACCACTATGTTCGCTGTTTAATTTCACTCTTAAATTGTATATAATACTTTATAACACACTATACTTTACTTTCACAAAGAAGACTATATATTAATTTATCTTTACTCACAACCTTCAGAATCACCTTATTTCACAATAGGCTTGACTATTATAATCTTCTCAGCACCACTATTCGTAATCAACTGCTGCGAGCGTCAAGTGTACGCGCTTTTATATTCTGACTCAATTCTAGAATTAATGTAGGTAGTTTGAAATGGATTCATATTAATATTAATTGTGAAGATTGCTAAGCAATATAGCATAATGATCACTTACTTATCTAACACATGGGACCAGGGCTACCTCCAAATAAAAATTATTAATATAACCCATGACCAGGGCGCTGTAAAGTGCTCGAAACGTCGGGAATATAAAATAAAACAATATTTACGGATTTTATCGCGTTCAATTAACTACTTTAACTTATTTTTAAATTCCCGACGTTTCGGGTGCTTTACAGCACCCATGGTCACGGAGGTACTGAGTGTCCGCGTAAATTTAAGAAAACATTACATAAAATAAGTTAATATACGCGATGAATCCGTAAAAACTAGTTTTATTTAAATGTGTAGTGTTCGCGTAAATATAAGAAATCATTAATTGATGAGATATCGCCATATATGATATAATATTGGTTTATAACTTTGTGACTGTTTAATTTAAATATTGAAGAGTATACCTCCTAAAATAAAGTAATCTAATTCCAGTACTTACTTGCGGTATCACAATGTCCGCTAAATACTTAGCGTATATGTAGAGCTCTTCTGCTTGGTCGAACTGTAGTGTGTGCTGGTTGTGTTGCAGGTCGTACTTGATGCAGTCATAGATGTCCGGGATCTTTGATATGTCATAGGTTTTATTCTTTGTACAGAAGTCCTTCTCTATTTTCCCCCACCGTCGACCCATCAGCTCCCATGTTTCGCCGTGATATAAAATGGTATCTGTAAGTGGTTTCATTTTAAGAATAATATCTATCAATATATCATTATATAATCTCTGATGACGACTAAAGATTATAGATCTTGTTGTAGTTAGATATGTACGTTGTTGTCCTCAGGGTATAAGGTTCGGATCAGATTTTTACGTGATAGAGCCAGACTGCAGCTATATAGTTGTAGCACGAATGGGTCGGCTCGGTCGGGGAAAGACCACGCTCTCACAGAATACCAGCGTTAAATAGTAGCTTAACGCTAATACGCAACATGTTTCGTATGGTGAGTGTAGAAAACCGGAGATCCTATTTACTGGAAACGAGGCATTCCATCTTAATACTCACGGGTGACAACGCATCTGCATTTTGATTCTTAATTGAGAATAGAAATGTAGATGTTTATGGGCCACAGCAACCACTTACCATCAGGTAGACTATGTTCGTTTGTCACCCTTATTCTATAAAAAGGTAGTCATAGCCTATTCCAGGCTGGTACAACTTCCATAGTAAAAATTGTTATGAATGAAACATGAGCAAATTGCTATGGCGGTTATCTCTTCTTTTTACTTTTAGTAATATGTCTATCAACGACATTATCAAATCAAATAAATTCAAATGTCAAATAAAACGGTTACGTTCATATTTATTTTAATTATTTAGATTGCTTTTAATTTTAAGGAGTCGTTAGCCTTTTATAGAATTGTTAAAAAACCAAATATGCATTATAAAACTTGCCAACTAGATGGTGCAAGAAGCGAAAAAACTAACCACAAGAAAGGTCTATTCATAGCAATATTTCCCGTAGATGATGAAAGGTGTGGAGATTTCAATTTTGATTGTAATATGATATATAACATGAATACATTTTTGGACCTTTATTCGTGGTAAACCGAATCTCTAAACCGAACTTCGATCACGGACGCTAGCCATCTATCTAGATTTTATAGTATACGGTTGTGTGCACAAATACAAACATACTATTTCCTAACTCCGGTAGTTCGATGAGATGGCAATCCGAAAGGAGATATACTTAGAAACTATATTATCAATTGTGATCGCTTACATTCTATTTATTCAATAAAAAGGTGATTTTATTAATATAAATTTTTCAGATGTAAGCAATTAGTTATGAATTTAGACCTGGCAGATGTACCAATTGAAAAAAATCACGTGTTTTTTATTTAGTATAAGGGTGACAAACGAGAACACAATCCACCTGATGGTAAGTGGATGCTGTGGCCCATAGACATCTACATTCAACCTTGCTTAAGAATCAAAATGCAGATGCATTCTCACCCTTGAGGACTCAGACAGAATGCCTCGATTCCAGTAAAACGGGTCTCCGGTTCTCTACACTCACCATACGAAACACAGCAGCATTAAGCTGCTATTTTACTCTGGTATTCTGTGAGAGCGTGGTCCCCCGGTCGAGTCGACTCATTCATGCTACAACCATAATAGCTGCACTGTGGCTCTAGCACATACAAAATTTTTGCGGTAAACATTGTAAATTCGAGGATTTAAACCCAACTAAAACATACTATTATTCCATCAGTGGACTTAAAGCTTCCACAATTATGTTTAAGTTATTTAGATTTCCTTTACATGTAGTAAAAGATGATATCTTAAGTCACATTTTGGTAAGAATTCTATTATATAACTAGACTCAAAGTTATTTATAATTACCTGATTATAAATTTTAGTGGTTTCTTTTTATAGATTCACCTACAAACATTAGCTATAATGAGCACTCATTTTGAAAGCGACTATTAGTAAACGATCTCTGCGAGTAGTATGTACCTCTGTGAAGAAGCCTACCTAACCTGTACTTAATAATTGTAGATATAATTACAAATTGCTGGGTGTATGTGTGTGTAAAATATATTGATTTCTTATCATCATCATTTTATCATATCATATCATAGCATTTTTACTCTATCACCAAATAAAAACTTTTATTTCTTATAAATCGGTATAGAGATCTAACTTTTATTACATAAAAATATCGATTAATATTATATCGATAAAATTATTCGAGGATAAACATTTCAGCACTAGTACAATTCGTGTATGTTGTCAGCAGTTTTTCAAAAAATAAATCCCATGTCTTGACGTTGCGAAGGGCGCCAAACTACCCTAGTTTGGCGCTTTTTCATACATTTCCTTTTACTAAGGGAGTCCCGCCTCTTAAACGTAGTGATTATATTATCTTTGGCCCATTCTTTTGACTTACTTTTGAAATACTGATTAAAAAATAACAATTTTTACAAATAATGCTCCAAAACACCCTTACTTTGCAAATTCAACCTTTTAGTTCATGTCTTCACACATTAAGATACACATTGATCAAAATAATGTTCAGTTATAAGTCTTAAAACTCTAACCACTTGATACCGTTATTACCCCTGAGGATTTAAATGGAATACCTTGTTCAAATAAAATGGTCTCCGGTTCTCTACGCTTACCGTATAAAGTACAGCAGCATTAAATTGGTATTCTGTGAGAGCGTGGTCGTTCTCCGATCAAGCCGACTCATTCGTGTTACAACCATAATATAGCTTACTAAGTATAAGGTGGTGCGTGAGTGAGGGTGTACAGGTTGTTGTACCTTTAGTCTTGTGGTCATCCTTCTTGAGCTGCACGATGTGCACGAGCCGCTGTATGAGGCAGTGCACGTGCGCGCAGCAGCGCACGGGGTTCTTGACGAAGTCCATGGCGGCGGCGATGCTGAGCGAGCCGCATGGGTTGATGCACGCGCGGTCCTCCTCCGTGAACTCGCGGTCCACCTGCATGGCCTCGTGCAGTCGCGCCTTCGCCCTGACAACCGTACCGACCATGCAAAGGTAAAGGTTTAGTATCAAGTCGCGTTAACAAGGTGGGGGCGGGGTAAGGGGGTTGGATTGATTTTTTTAAAACGCTTCATGGCTCTCCATTGTAAAGGTCGCTACATACAGGACGGAATCAGACCGAGACGAAAGGTGGTTGTATCTCAACACGTGACACGTCGATCACGCACCGGGACAGTGACTCGAAACTAACGTGTTAGTGTTGTGAAACATGGATTTTTCATTTGAAGAATATGCACTAATTGCTATATTGCTTTAGATGTTGAAGAAGCTACAACCGTCAAGAGTAAAAGCAGATTTTCTGTACATCCTACGTGGCAGAAAAAAGAACAAGAAGGTGACCGGGACGTGGCACACGGCAGGCGGGGCGGGGTAAACATCGTCGCCGACGATATTTTTCCCGTCCCGTTCATACCACGTCCCCGTCCCCGTCCCGTCCTTGCATCCGCAACGCAGCCAGTCATATGCTCTTCAATAATCTGTGTGAATTGTGGTACCCGTTTCTATATCTTTTTGTATTACACATTTTGACACATGCAACTTAAAAAATGTAAGAATTTAGTGTAATTTAAGCTCCGTTTTAGGTATTAATTACTGATTATAAATATTCATAATATTTTTAGAAAATGATTTGAAATATTTCAACGCAGCTTTGGCAGCTAAAATTGCATGGGGGCGCTTGTAATAAGCCCCCTTGACCCCGTCACAGTAACAGACTCCTCAAATTGATAAACCTGGAAGAGCATAGAGCAGAATTCAATCCTCTTTCACATATATAATAATACAACGAGGATCTCCATCTAGCTTTAATATTGCGTACAATTTTTAAATACCCTAGGATGCGATAATATCACAAGTAACCATCATCCAAACTACAGTCAGAACCATTGAATTCATTAATTTCAATTTTAAACGTTGATTTACCAGATAAAAAAAATATTAGGGCGTATAAAATATTAGGGCGTATATAGGCTGTAACTATAATGATTTCTTATATTTACACGACCACCACACATTGAATAAAGCTAGTCTTACGGATTTTATCAAGTTTAATTTTACTCATGTTTTATTTCCCACGTTTCGGGTGCTTTGCAGCACCTATGGTCACAAGGAGACTGAGCCGTTTGACGCCCCGATGTCAAAGTTAACCCGCAGTACCTTCACCTTTTGAATTATTAATTTTGATCCAATCTACGCAGAATGAGCTTACTGAATCTAAAAATATTCAAATTTTATTAATTACAATAACTCAAACGGAAGTACCCAGCCTCCTTCTCTATTGAAATTAGGATGTCTTTTAATTTCAATAGCCTCACCGTATTTGTGGTCCATCTAACCTGATAGAATGGTGGCGACCGTCAAGGTATGATCACAAACTACAGATTTGTCAGAGTGTTGATGTTTCGAATCATTTACAATACAATTCACAAATAGCTGATGATTATTATTATACGATTAGAGGAGTATTATCAAAAAAAAAAAACGCGAAATTACAAGGTTTCCTCGTTGAAATAATATATTTTCCGTTAGTTGGTTAAAATAACAATTACTTGGTAGAAAATAGTTCGTTTTCTCTACTACAATAAGCTCAGAGCAAATTTTAGATAACTTATTTATTTATTTAGTAATAATTATTTTCCCGATGCATGTTTAAGCCAAAACTCTGAGAGACATGATTTGGGAGCTCTAATTTGTAGATTCTATTGAATATCAACCATCAAAAAAATATTTTTATCTCCCTAGTATCCTATACTTTAATAATGATAGAATAAATTTTCGTTATATGCCTTTCACGTATGGAAAAAAATCAACATAATTGAAACAAAAAACTGAAAAAGCTTCGATATAAGCCCCAACTCCTAAGTTCTACATATTTTGACGTAAAATTATATATTCATCAACATGCTTAAACTATACATGACTTTTAATTCCTTTAAAAAAAAAAAACATCCCGAACCGCGCGGGGGGGGGCCTTTTTTTTTTTGGTGGTGGGGCTGTGTGGGGGTTAGTTCCGAAATATAACTCAACTATGAACCTAGTTTTTGATCGTTGGAAGTTTTATTTTATAGGATAAGCGTGACAAACGAGCACACAGTCCACCCGATGGTAAGTGGATGCTGTGGTCCATAGACATCTACAGTTATCCTCGATTAAAAATCAAAACGCCGATACGTTGTCACCCCTGAGGACTAAGATGGAATGCCTCGTTTCTAGTAAAACGGGTATCTGGATCTCTACACTCACCACGCGAAACACAGCAGCATTCAGCTGCTATTTTACGCTCGTGTTCTGTGAACTAGGTGTAGAAGTATTCTGTGAAGTATTTACTTTCGTACAGTATATTTCAATTAGTATAAAGTTCGCACATTTTATTATACGAGATAGCTGAGCTTTCTTACCAGTCGAAATGGGGAAAAAATAAATACAACTATCAATGTGTCATTAAACGCAAAAAAAGAAATATCCTATCTCTGGAGAAATAATAATGGAGAAGAAAAATATCTGCATGCTTGCCATATGGACTGACCCAGATTAAATTACTAAAAATCTACAAAAATGTAAGTACTAAAAATCTACAAAGACGTTAAATTTTGGATTTTTAGTATGTTACCCAAGTTACAAGCGTTTTATAAAAAGTGTGTACTGCCTGAAATTATTGACTTGTGATAAGCTCGGCCAATGCCTTTGCGGCAAATATTTTTACAATAAAAAAATATGGTAATTGACTGTAAGTACCGATTAAAAAATATTAGTTACAGTTGGTTATTTTATTTATTAAAACAGATTGCAACCGTACTATTTATTAATTTATACCACTATGCTATCGTTAGTAGATTTAATCGATTATTAACAATCGATTACTGTGAAACAATTAAAATATTTACGTACACTTATTTCAACATTAACGTTCATAAACTATGAAAAATATATTAAATTGATTATAATAAATTAATTAGATAACATAAAAATGACACAACAAAAATTTTCCAGCCACTGAACTCCATCCTAAGAAAACTTTTATAATGGAAGATTGTTTAGTTGCTATACTCACAGTATCATAGTGCGAGCGAGTGGATAGATATTATGAAATAAGGTATCGCTCGCGTAAGTCGTCGTCCGCTGGGAGCGTAAAATACCTAAATTTGCGTAACGCCGAAATGTAAGAGGGCTCTTTAATAAAAAAGAATCATTAATAATGGTTTACAATTGATGAAGATATTGTGTAACAATTATATAATTAGGAACGTCATTGATCTAGACTAAATCTGTCAACTATCACTTGAAAAATATGGCTTGCAAAAAGAATTAATTTGCGTATTAATAACGTTTCTTTTTAACCCTCTACGAAAAACAGGGGTGTGTGGCACTGGCACCGTAGCTCTTAAGTGGGTGAACTGATTTAGGTGCCGCTTTTATTTTATTTAAAAGCAGGTTTTCTAGCGGTGGTTCTTAGACAAGTTGTATCGAAATCTGTTCAGACGTTTGAAGATCATCAGGTCTTTTGTTTCGGGGATTATTGAATTTAGGTTATTTCCGCTTTATTTAACTGTGTCCTTAGTATTAACAAATCTATAGAACTCATAACATATTTTTATAAATTAATTTAAAATACTAATATTAGTCGGTGAAATATTTAAAATACCTACATACATCCATGTTCTATTCAATAAGGGGAAGCAGCAGTGATGATAATGCCGTAAAAGATTATTATTGATTAGAAGTTTTACCAGTATTGAAACAGCTAGACTAGTTTACTTTAGCTATTTCAATATTATAATGTCGTACGGTGTTTTGCTATGGGTACACGCGACTTGGGGGATAAGTCGCTCGCGTCCGTAGGCTTTGACCACCTGTTCCTAGGCCCACCCTACACGTGTCCCCCGGGTGGTGCTAAATGAGCGACAAGCCGATACCACAGACTCGGCTCCACGCCGTGGTAGCGGCGTTAAGTATACCACCCCATTTCGCACCAAGAGGAATCGAATTAAAGAAATGGCCCCGAGTTCCCGGCGCCCCTTTAATGGGGCAGGGGTGCGAAGAATCTCCGGGAGGAAAACCGGCGACGAGGTTCACCACCCGTCACGTTCTGTCTCTCGGAGAGGCGAAAAGTGGATTGCAGAGGCCCGTCTGGCTACGTTGAATGTATGTGGGGCAATGAATGATAAAATGGATGAAGTATGCGATATGATGTATGATAGAGGAATAGATGTGTTATGCGTAAATGAGACGAAAAGGAAGGGGAAGGATGTCACTACACATGGCATGTATACCGCATACTGGTCTGGTGTAGACGAGATCGAGCGGGCATGCCAGGGAGTAGGTATCATCCTTTCAGAAAGAATGGGCCAATGTGTGAAAGAGTATGAATGTGTAAGCCCAAGACTGCTATGGATACGAATGAAAGTGGGCTTAAAGAAGTTGTTTGTGTTAGGGGTCTACGCCCCAGACATGTCTAAGCCCACTTATATCCGAGAGCAGTTTTGGGAAATGGTAAGGATGGTGTTAATGAAGTGTAAGGGAAATGAAAATATATATCTAAACAACTCACTGTATGTATGGAAAAGAATCTTTTTGTGACGAACACTTGCTTTCGCCACAAGAGGATTCACATGTATACTTGGGAAAGAGGTGACGATAGAAGCATGATAGATTTCATAATTGTGGATGAAAGATTGAGGGACGCAGTGGTAGATACGAGAGTTTACCGGGGTTCTAACGTAGGAACGGATCATTATTTAGTTTTATGCCGAATTAATGGTCTATTCAGGCGTTGGCGCCATCGATCGTCTGTGTCCACCACTGCGTTACAGCGTATTAGAACAGAAAGTACAAGTTGAAAATGATAAAAACAAGTTCAAATGTAGACTGAAAGAAAATATAAGTTGTTTGGATGCATTATGTATGAAGGAGTTAGCCTTGGAGAATATATGGCAAAATGTAAAGAAAAGTTTAGTGGATGCAGCTACCGAAGTATGTGGTGTTAGTAAGAGAAAGAATGAAAGGAAAAATAATACGTTATGGTGGGATGATGAGATACGTATGGAAGTTGAAGTAAAGAAGAGAGCATGGCTAGATTTACTAGCAACAAAGGCTGCTAATTCTAGTGGTTACGAATGGTGATATTGAAAGAAAAAAGGCAGTCTTTAGACATCTTAATAAGAGAGTAAAAGAAGTAGTTGAAAGAAAAAAGTAAGAAAGAACGGATAAGAATGATAGAAGAATATCGGATAACTTCCAGGCAAATATTAAAATGTTCTGTAAACTTGTAAGAACTGCCAGGGGACATTCAAAACAGCCTATTATGAATGCTATAAGAGACGAGAATGGCTATATTCTGAATGATGAAGTTTTCGGTTTAAAGAGATGGAAGGAATATTTTGAAAGCGTGTTTATGAGTGAGGAGACAACGTGTGTACTAAGTGAAGTAGAAACATCGAAAGAAGAGGAAAGAGGTAGCGAGATAAGTATAGATGAAATAATGAAAGCAATGAAAAGCATGAAAGCAGGTAAGGCTGCCGGATATGATAGAGTTTCACTCGAAATGCTAAGGGCTGGAGAGGAAGTGGTGGCAGGCCTGCTGCACACCTTGTTTAATTTATGCTGGGAACTGAAGCGGGTACCGGTAGACTGGTGCAAAGCCGTGATAGTCCCAGTATATAAAGGAAGAGGGTCGCAGCAGAACTGTAAAAACTACCGTGGCATCAGCCTTCTTAGCATTGTGGGAAAACTGTACGCTAAGGTACTGATTGAAAGGGTCATGAAAGAAACTGATGGAAAAATTTGGGAAGTGCAAGCGGGATTTAGAAAGGGAATGGGATGTACAGATCAAATCTTTTCCATGCGCATGATCGCGGAGAAGTTTCTGGTCAAAAACCAAAAGGTTTTTTGTGCGTTCATGGACTTGGAAAAGGCCTATGACAGAGTGGATAGGGATTTGCTATGGCAAACACTGAACTCATTTGGGTTGAGCGCTGGCTTGATACAGGCATTGCAGTCTCTTTATAGAGACTCTAGTGCTTGTATTAGGATCAACGGGGTCTACTCGGACTGGTTTGACATCCATAAAGGTGTCAGACAGGGCTGTGTGGGTTCCCCGTGGCTGTTCAACCTATTTATGGACAGTTGTTTGTAAAATTTGAAAGTTGAAGAATGCGGATTAAGAATGGGTGAGTTAACCGTCAAATGCCTTTTGTACGCCGATGATCAAGTTATTCTTGCGTCGTCGGCGGCCGAGTTGCAAATGATGGTTACATTAATGAGCGGATCATTAAAAGAAAGGGGTATGAAAGTGAACGCAAGTAAGACGAAGGTTATGGTTTTTGAAAGAGAAGAAAGTAAAACGATTTGTGAAATAAGAATAGAAGGGGAGTTGATCGAGCAAGTAGATGAGTTTGTATATTTGGGCTGCGTATTTAGCAGGGATGGAAGATATGATAAGGATATAGAACGACGAGTGAATGCGGGAAATAGAGTAAATGGGGCCTTGCACTCCATTGTGAAGAGTCAAAATGTGTCGAAAAAGGCACGTATGGCAATTCACAATGCTGTGGTGGTCCCTACTTTAACATATGGTAGTGAAAGTTGGGTGTGGCAGAAGAAGCACGAGAGTAGAATAAACGCAGTAGAAATGCGGTCGTTAAGGAGTATGTTAGGGCTGAATCTGAATGACAGGGTAAGAAATTGTGTAATAAGAGAAGAGTGTGGTTTGCAAGATGATGTTGTGACCAGGATTAAGAAAGGAATGCTTCGGTAGTTTGGTCATGTGGAAAGAATGAGTGAGGAAAGAGTGACAAAGAAAATTTATGGTGCAGAAGTGAATGGCAGAGTCGGAAAGGGACGTCCTAGGCGAAAATTTATCGACCAAATTGGCGATTTATTGAAAACGGGCCAAATTAAGAGTACCCTTAACCGACGAGCATGTATGCGTAGGTGTATGGATGTGAAGGAGGCAAGAGAGGTGTGTCAGGATCGTGCCAAATGGAAGTCTGTAGTCTCTGCCTACCCTACACAACAAGTGGTATAGTTAAAATTGTTGTATAAACGACTTTAATATAAATAAAATGAGAACACCATCAATGTAGCCGAAGTCAATTAAATAAATACGCATAATTAATAATAACTCAAAAACTCTTCAGTTCACTCACAGGTCAGATCTTGATCAATATATATATATATATATATATATATATATATATATATATATATATATATATATATATATAAATATATATATGGGACCACATGAGAAGCATCAGCTTTCAAATAAAAAAAGAATAATCAAAATCGGTTCACCTAGAAAAAGTTCTGAGGTAGCACATATAAAAAAAACATACAGTTGAATTAAGTACCTCGTCCTTTTTGAAGTCGGTTATAAATAAAAGTAGTTTTAAAAAATATTATCATTACAGCTTTTACAAATCCACTGCTGAACATAGATATCCCTCAAGAAATGCCACAAATCACGTCTTGAGCTACTTGCATCCAATGACTTCCTGCATGTCTTACCAGGTCGTCACTCTATCTAGTGGAGGTTCATCCTAGACTTCTCTTACCGGGCTACGAGGCTTACGAGGATGCGACTCGAGCACCTTTTCTTCCCATCGGTTATCGGTTCTTCGTGCTATATGGCCGGCCCAACGCCACTTCATCTTACTAATCCGTTTTGCTATATAGGTCACTCCGGTCCTACTGCGGATATCCTCATATCTAAGTTTATCACGCCAAGAAAAACCGAGCATAGCCGTCTCCACAGCTCGCTGAGCGACCTCGACCGTTCTCATACGGCCAGCAGTGAAGGACCACGTCTCAGATACATAAGTTATCGCTGGTAACACACACTAGTTGTACGATCTCGTTTTCGAGTTTTGAGGTATGCCTGACGAGAAGATGTTTCGTAATTTCCCGCACGCGGCCCAGTCGAGTTGAATCCGTCGATTGACCCCTCGGTCGATGTTGGACTTACCTAGTCAGCCTATTTGTCTCAAGTAAACATATTCGTCAACAACTTCGAGCTTAGTGCTCCCAACAACTACCGGCATAGACGTAACACATAATCTTTGTTTTGTCCACGTTTATCTTAAGATCTATCCTTTGGGAGGCACTATTAAGGTCATTGAGCATAGTGCTTAGGTCCTCCAGCGATTCTGCCGTAAGTACTATATCGTCGGTTAATCGAAGGTAATTGATGTACTCGCCATTGACGTTAATACCGTATCTGTTCCAGTCCAGTAGCTTGAAAATGTCTTCCAATGCAGCGGTGAAAAGTTTCGGGGATATAACGTCACCCTATCTTACACCTCCTTGCAGTTGGAAAGGTTTCTGGTTCTGTACTCGGATAGCCAAAGTAGCCCTACTGTATAAACACTTCAGTACTTCGATATACCGAAAGTCAACTTGGTACACACATTTACAAAAATAAGTGATATTCATTCTGTAAATACTAGGGACAGAGACAAGCTAGTAGTACCAGTTAATCGACTTCACCGAGTCAGTTATTTATTTCTAAAATTGAAGTGCTAGATTCATATTAATACATTTTCGCTTATGATTTTTGTAAATAAATGTTATTTCAAAAATATACATTTTGCTCACCCCACCTAACTGGTTTGAATGGACAGTTATGAAGGGACAATATGACGCCAGGTCAGTTCTATTCTTATTTGAATCGCATAGTACAGTCGCATACGACCTCCTTTTTTAAAGTCGGTTAGTTGCGAATAAAATTCATTAACAAAGTGATATAAATATATTGTAAGCGAAGTCTTGGGTATTTGCTAGTATCTATTCATATACCTACTTACATATTTTGTACTTTTGAGGAATCACAGTCGTTATCCAGCAATCCATTTGTATTAGCAGACTTCACCATTTGAACCAATATAGGAGTGAGTTCTCCCTCCAAAGCCAGCAAGCCTTTAGCAAAGGCAGCGGCAGTCATTTGCACGCGGCCCTCGTCTGATGCGTATATCTTTAAGTCGTGTCGGAACGTCGAGTGAAGACGAAGCAGGCCAAGTCCTTGGGTTCCACTTTCACCTGAAATGGAATGAAGTTTAAAATGAACAACATCAAATATTTAAAATGAATAAAGACCTGACAAAAGATTTGAACTACTTTGGGCTATATGGCCGGCCTATGTTATATACTATATAGGTACTATGATAATAGTACCATTTCAGGTGAAGTTTTATGGATTAAGTTGAGTTGAGTTATATGGGTTACTCCGGCACTACAGCAAATACCTTAAGTACAGAGTCTAACTTGCAGAAAACTTTCAGCGTAATTATTTCTATAGCTTCCTAAACGACTTAGTTTCTACATACGCCAATGGTGGAGAACTTGATGCTTATGTCTCGGTTCCATAGGCAATTACTGATATACTGGTTATAACCGCACCGGCTGTACATTTTTGTCTTTAGATGTTTATGAACATTAAATAAGAAAATTTGAGAATCTATCGCCACATTTCGTCCATAAAGAAAGCCAGAAAGATCTTAATTACTTCCGATAGATGGCAGTACAATCATCCGGCTCACACAGATGTAAAATCTGATGTAAGATGTAAAATTACGAAAAAAAGGGGATGAAATTTTTAAGGCACTAACTATCTAGACAACCTTTTAATAGTTACTTTGAGCTTGTGATATTTTTATGTGCACTCAAAAGGAGCAAAAAATTTAACTTTTAATGGGCTTTGAATTCTTCTTTAGACTATACAATTATTTTAATTCTTTTTATTTTGTTTGAAGTCACGTTTTACTTTTTATGCAACGTTATTTTTATTTAAATAACTAGAAAAATAAACTAAACGTTTCATAATGAATTACAGCTTTAAAATTTATCCTTACGATAAAAGTGCTGTAAAATATAATATCTCGTTGGAGATTATCTACTCTATACATATTGTCCCTCTACAAAGTGAATACTGACCGGGTATGTGGCGACCCTGTCCGCCGGGATACATGCAGCGGAACATGCGGCCGAGCTCCTCGGCCTGGATGCGTCCGGCCGGCGTCAGCTCGCCACCCCCCTTGAGGATCAGCACGAGCGACGGCTCCCCGACACTGCCTACTGTAACACCACGCCATCTATAACACTGTACCTACTCAATTCGCTAATTTAGGAAAGAAAAACTAGGAGGAACTAGCTTTTTTGTATGATATAAGTACTACATTAAAGTTTTATTTACGTATTTGTAATTATTAAACACCACAGATACGACCCGGCTTTGCAAGAATCATTTCTGGATCTCGACAAAAGCGCCACCTACTGGGTCCAATTGAATTTTTAAAACATTCCAAGAACCCACTCAAATACACACGAAAAAGTTCATCAAAATCGGTCCAGCCATTTTCATGTTGATGACGAAACATTTGTGATCTAAATTTACACACATTTTTATCTACTAGGCATTAGATCCAGTTTTTAACACTCAAAGAGTTTGTAAGAAAATTGTCAACATTATTCCAGTCTATGTCAAGTATACTGCTGCACTTGCTTTCACAGGTTGCCACAAAATTCTGTATTTAACGACCTGTATCTATCGACTGCATTCATGCCACATCAAGCCTTTACCTTTTTTTAGTATGTGCCAAATCGATTGAGAAAACGGACAATGACCTTTCGGTCGTTTAACCAGGGGTTACAAACCTTCAATATATAGGCACATTTTATATGTAGTACTTCCTTTAATTATAATGATTTTTTATAATAATTGATATAATATATATTTATTAACTACTATTAAAAAGTTATGTAAAAGATCGCTGTAGAAGAAAAATTATCTATTGTTGTAAAGTATTTTATTCATTTAACAACAAAAAGCATTAATTTATAACACATATAAAGATTCGAGTGATAACGACACCGAATAAGTACGTACTTATTCAAAAGATAAAACTTTATTTTCAATATTATATAAGAACCTTATTTTTATTCGGTGCATGCGGACCGGCCCAAAAAAAGTTGACGCATCTCTGGCTGCCATCGTCAAGTTTCTTTTAGAACGAACTGACGTAACGCGCGTTTTGTTTATTTTAAAGGGATGAATTTGTAAAAGCTCAATATGGTGATTATATTGCTTCAAATATTTTTTTAATATGAAACTGTTATTAAAAGAATTGCTGCGTTACTTACCATAAATTGAAATATAAAATATAACACATTTTTCGCGATGTACCACAATATTTTACGATGTTTATAGGAACCACATACAATATTATTTAAGAAACAAAAAAAAACATATATGACTGAGCTAGAAGTGTGAATAATATCAATATTTAAATATTGTTATTACATCTAAATTTAAATTTTGTAAGTTATGCCTTTTGACACTCGGCTTATATCTGAGGTCATCCGTTTTTCTCAATCGATTCGGCACATACTATTTAGATTATATTATTTCTTTTTTATTATATATATATAAGATCTCTACTCTGCTCTGCTACAAGGCTGGCATTCGCGAACTAGTCGTCATTATCAAGGGTCGGTTCATAAAGTAATACAATAAACCAGCTACTTTATTTCTATTAATGTTCTTTAAATATTGACAAAAAAGGAACATTAAATTTAATATGCCTCAATGGAAAAAAGTTAAACTGATTCATAGCAGTGGAAAGTTTATAAGGTCAAACTTTACTTGTGGCTATTAATATCATGCCTATGAGCGTGTTTGGAGGCGACAATACACATCCGCTATTAACTTAATAAAGGTGGTATATATTTATATGTTTCGTTATATAAAAAATAATTAAGGTATTTAATATTGTGGCCTCAATTACGCTATCAAAGTTCCGAAGTACTGCACTATATATAGAATAGCTCCGAACTATCACACTGAGCGCTGGCGGCTCCCTGTGCCGATCACCTTGCTCGGTGGAAAATCTCTTCTTTTCCTTTTACGGCTAAATTAGTGACCACGACGTGATACAAACACGCAATATGCAAGCTTCGTAAACCTCAACTTCAAGGTTTCGTCATCGTCCTCAAGTACCCCATCCATTCGCCCCCGAGCAGATATTGTCTGCGGTCTTCAGATCGTGCAAGCCACATCTAGCTTTACAAGGTTCATCGCAGCACTGGAAATTGTTGTTTCAAGCTACTCTCTACGCTAGTGTTCGGCACGGCTCTGAGCCTTACCGCTCGTCTCAGCTTCACGTCACTCTCGCAGATTACAAGGCGATCCCCGGCACTTGTACTTTCGTCGACAACTAAACTGTACCATCGACTTTCGGTCTCATCAGGACAGGTGGGTGTTGTGGCGGCACTGTCGTCGCACCACAAGCGAAAAGCACCGAAGCCTAAATCACGCTATCAAAGTTCCGAAGTACTGTGCTATACACAGAATAGCTCCGAACTATCACACGGATTCGTTGACCGCTCCCCGGTCTGATTACCTTACCCGGTGGGAAATCTCTCTATTTCCTTTCACGGCCACAATGGCAAGCAGTGCGTCATTTGCGAATGTGAGTATTAATACAAACCATTATTGGTTTAATGTTACAAATCAAATATAAATATGGATAAGCATTTCTGTTTAAATAAATAAAAAACTTTCTATTCTCTAAAAAGAACGTAAAATCTAGTAAGTGCTAAGATTTTATTTAAGTGCAAAAAATACGATACAAATCAAATACTATATAGATATTTTGTGATGTAAATTGTAGTGTTTAAATATATAATTTCATTTGAAAAAAGAATTGATTACTTAACAAGATTATCTATTTATCATAGAGGTTTATGAGGCGAATAACTGCAGGCAATATTTTGGGTAGATTTTATTCAGAGCAATTCATGCATCAAAATAACAAATTAATTGTATTTTAATTAATAATAGTTTTTCATTCATTTCTTTAGCAAGGAAATTGACAATATAGCAAAGTATATTTTTGAAACTCTATGTATGACCTCGCTATTAATCGTAAAAAATGCCACCAAAACTCAAGCGCATATGTTCGCCAAACACAGTCCATTATCATCGCTCTTTCTTTTAATAGGAGGTGTACAAACGAACATGCGGTTCACATGATGGTAAGTAACCACCGTTGCTCATTGCATATCAGTGTAAATAATCTCATTTAAAAAATCAATATCTAAGAATAAACATTTGTTCGGATTTTTTAATACCCAAGTTATATTACCTAAATCATACACAATCAACTTCTACGGAAAGATATACAAAGAAAAATTAATGCTGCAAACAGTCAAGTTATTTAGGAACAGTTAAACAAGATGCTAAGTAGTCAAATCGCGAAAAATTATACCAAGTTTACGCTTTGTAAACATAGTAAGATCTGCATTCGAACAAAGCGCATTAAATAATTACTAGATAATGCTTCTAATAAAATCTAACCTCTATATTCATTTATAGTGACCAATTTCTACCAAGATAACAACATTGAAACCTATCCAAAGTTGATAACTCTTTCAGACACACATGATATTTTTTGCTGTTAGGTAACAAATGCTCACTTCAAAATTAATATCAGGTTTTTAAAATGTTGAATAAACATTTCCATATTACTAAATGAGATGTGTTTAAGTAGAGGTCGGAATTAGGTAGAGTTATTTATGTACTTACACCGATTTCATGCAGCGATAGAAGAATGTGGATATGCATCAAATCCCGAGATTAAACAAAAACAAAAAAATACAATTTAAACCACTGCACGCGCGTCTTTGCCAAATTTACTTAATAAAATATAGCAGAATATGAGGAGGAGTAAGTCTATAAATTTGCTAACCTCACCTCTATTGAGGAAAAGCGATATTTTTCAATGTACAAACGGATTTTAGACGTTCGGAGAAATTCATTGAAGCCAGAAAATATTGAAAAGTTAATGGTTATATACTTCAACTCTTATAAAGGTTATACTTACTTACTATATAGGTACTTTGAATGAATCGAACAAGGAAAATGATTCTGATGAGCCCATCAGAATCATTTTAACTCGTGAGGTTTTGCTTATTAAAACAGCCGTTTGAATAAGCAAAACCTCACGAGTCTAGGCTAGAAGCAAAAGTATTTTCGTATTTATAAAAAAGGCGCAGTATAAGTATGAGAATTTCTTATGACAATTAATAATTTGTATTATGAATTAATGTAAATACTAAAATTGTATTGTAATACTAAAATTGTATGTAAATTATCTTTGTTTTATTTGTCTCATCTATCGCTGAGGTTTTTATTATTATTTATGTGTAATATTGTTGGCCACATGGGATTGACTATTAGAAATCCCGGAAAGATCCATATTAATATCAACATTTCGATGCAAGTACATAAATAACTCGACCTAATTCCGACCTCTGGTTATAAGTTATCTATTTAAAATTTAAATAACTTGCCATCTTAGTTTTAAAGGACGTATTTTTAATAGTCGATAAATTACGTTAAATGTAATGATATTTAAATACAGGCTTATAATTTTATTTCTGTCTTTCTTTATTATAACACTTGCCAAGTTAGATATTTAAATTAAAGAACGTTATAAATTTTATTTCAATCAAATGAATAACATTGTACATTCCTATAACTACTATTTAAGGAACTGCTATGCAGCTTGGCACCTATTCATACCTAGTCATTATCGGCCTAACCAACAACCCTGAACGTTGTTTGTACCTGGCATTTTTTTCACATGTATGTTTTTAGAGAAATTAATTTTAACGTCAACAAAGGTAAGAATTTCACGGTGTTGCAAAATCAAAACCAAAAGTTCAAAATCGAAACTACTTGCCATTACTTCGTGGCTGATAATTGTGTGGGTCATCAAGTGATATCAGTCAATCTAGCAATTAAAGTGTTACTTAGTTTCGAATGTATTCATTTTATCTATCAAAAAGTAAAAATTAAACGCGATGAAATCCAGAACATATATTTTTTTTATATATATTTTTGAAGTGAATACTTTTTTTAGGCATGTTAGGCACTTTTGGGATGGGGAAAAAGCACTGAACTCCAGTGAACGTCATGCTCAGATACACAAAATTGATGAAATTAATGTTGTAAATACAATTGATTAAATTTTATAAAACTAATCTATTTATAGAGCCGTTGTAGCTCAGTGGTTAACGCTCGCTGTAAATATAACAGAACGCGAGTAACCCGGGTTCGATCCCCGCCGGCACCAATGAAATTGTTAATTGCAATTTTACGTGCTGATTTACCACGTGCTCGGCGGTGAAGGAAAACATCGTGAGGAAACCTGCATGTTTGAGGAATAAGAAAAAAAAATATTTCGAAGACATGTGAAGTTCGTCAACACGCATTTGGGCAGCGCGGCGGACACTTCCTTGCCTTAAACCCTCTCAGAAATGAGGGGAGGCCTGAGCCCAGCAGTGGGACGTAATATAGGCTGTAACTTTACTTTACTTTAATCTATTTATAAATTTGTTTGTATTATATAGATAAAAATCATTCTTTTTCATGTAAAACAGCTCAATTAATGAAAATTTTATAACAATTTTAATACGCTGATAAAAACAATTTGTAATAAAAAATACTTCCTAAAAAAATATTGCTTAAAAACCCAAAAAAAATGTTTTAAAGTTTGTGAAACTAAGAAGTTTTCATTTCTGACGTGCAGTTCTACGACTGACAGTTTTATTTTACTACATCTACTATTCGATTATCACCTTTACCCCTTGTACACCATATGTCCGAACTCCGAATATATAGATGGACTAAATCAACCACTTGTTTAGTATCAAGGTTTAGGTTTACCCGATGTCGATAAAAATTATTATACAACACACCATTCGAAACAAGCTTGTTGTGTTAAAGACCAATTCACACCGAAACTTGGACCTGCGGCCCTACACATAATACGTTGCGCGGTTGTCAGTCATAACATAGTAATAATGTCTTTCAGACTGAATTTCGAAGGGGTCGGTTTCTCATTTGGTAATTTGTTGTCAATAAGCAATCTGATGACCGGAAACCGACCCCTTCGAAAATTGTTTCTAAAGATTTCAAACTTAGGTTTTAATTTTTTTAGCTCTCTGTATATAAAATGTAGTATATAACAGTGATTATTATAAATATGTAAATAAAATAGGTTAGTATATTTATTCTTCAATCATTGGTACACAAAGGAAACAACATAAAAACATTGGGTTTTTACCCTCAATTTAGCGGAGTTATCATAATAATATAATCAAAATAATATAAGAGCCGTGGTAGCTCAGATGGATAACGCTCGCTGTAAATATAACAGAACGCGAGTAACCCGGGTTCGATCCCCGCCGGCACCAATGAAATTGTTAATTGCAATTTTAAGTGCTGATTTACCACGTGCTCGTCGGTGAAGGAAAACATCGTGAGGAAACCTGCATGTCTGAGGAATAAGAAAAAAATATTTCGAAGACATGTGAAGTTCGCCAACACGCATTGGGGCAGCGCGGCGGACGATTTCTTGCCCTAAACCCTCTCAGAAATGAGAGGTGGCCTGTGCCCAGCAGTGGGACGTATATAGGCTGTAACTTTGACTTTTAACTTTAGACTGAATTTCGGTCACTGCGGCAGCCCTTAACGGAGAGTAGCCATATATCTACGCAGGACAAGATTAAAGTGTCCAAGCGTACGCGCAAGCACGGGTGAACCTTTTATTCCCTCACTCTCGTAGTCCAATGGGACGGTAATTTGAGACACGACCGGAGAGAGATCAGGCACAAGGTCAACAACGGCTTAACTTGTTTTCCAAGGCATAGGGCGAAACACCGCAAAATTCCTGACTCTGGGCTGCAACCATAGAATACTATAATAGACAATATAATGACTGTCAAAGTTATTTTGTACGAGATTCGGCGTCGCCGGGAGCACACATACAAACAATTACGTCGTATTATCACTACAACAAATCCGATTCGCTATTTTGACAGACTGAGTAATAAATATACACATTTTAGACTTTTGATTAATGTTCAAAATCATCATTAAAAAAATCGTTTTAATTTTAATACATATTTATTTACATGTAAATAGTGTGCAATTTGGTATTTTCTAAATAATTTGCATGCGAAATTTGGAAACGATTGTTACGTCCAAAACACATCTCGTATTGACATTTATACGTGTGAATTGACACGTTAGTGGCATTTCAGTGGCAACACAGGCTCCGCCCACTCTCCCGTTCTATTATGTATGTATTGTAGTATTCTATGGCTGCTACTGAGAATTTCTTGACTGAAAAACCCAATCTAGACACGCGGTAGCGTGTCAAGCCAAGTTCAAGTAATAATATTTACAACCACTAGAACGACGAATCAGTCAAAACATAGTTCTATATAGGGAGTAAAGTTTTTTTTGCGTTTGGCGTATCTACACGGTTTTCAAGTATTCATATTGTTATGACAACCAGTTGCGTGTTGCATAACGTTCCACGAGAATATTCCCGAAGATAAGGGTCAATGGCTGCTGTCATGTTAATAAAATGTGTAGGAGTAAGAATAAACAACGCTCAAACTAATTGATCCAAACAAAACGCAACCTCAAATTTTTAGTGCAAAAAACCTTTTGTCCTTTGGACAATTTTGTTAATCGCGACTTTTCTAGTATTTTTACCATTGAAAAAGGTAAATGTTTGAATGACCCGAGTGAACCTAGAACCTTCTAGTTCTATATTTTTCTTACTATACGGTAATAATTATAGGTATAGAAGTTTACGTCGGCGATTAGAGAATTAATTATTAATAAATCGGAAGTTCTACTTTAAATTAAATAGGGATCAAATAGTATATAAAATAATAAGAAATTTCTTTAAAAGTAAATGCAAATAAGGTTAAGTGTAATCAACACTAACACAAAAGTAAAGTAAAATGAGCACATGCAACTTAATCGGTTTATCTACTATGGTCCAATACATTAGTTAAGGATACTCTAATTCTGCACCTTGCAAATTTTACGAACATGATTTTAAATACTTAATACATAATTTTTGATATTGAATAAAAAAATATCAATAGTTAAACAAAGTTCATATTTTTTTTTGATTTGTTATTTTCAATGATCAGTTTTGGTAGATACTAAGTTATAGGTGCAAGAAACAGGGTTGTTAGAACAAGAGTGTTATAAAATTTGCCCCACGTCGATTCGTGCAATGACCGGTAATTCGAGAGATAAAAAAATATCTACGCAATCGATGACGTGACTGATTTACACATTTTCTCAATAAGTCCGATAAAGAATTTCCGTGAACGTCTTTTTTATTTAGCTGAAAGTTGGATAAATCTGATAAGTTGAACAAATTTTATTATAACATCAATAGTAAAAACATTCTGACAATCCACCTGATGGTTAGTAGCACTCAGCGAAACTAACTTCAAACAAAGAAGAGCACAAGTGCGTTGTAGACGGCAAAAATAACTTTATTTTGTCAAACAAATTGATAGCCTGAGCTGGTACGTTATAGGCGGGCACGATACGGTAATAGCAGGAGCCGACGTGAGGCGAGACTAAGTGTAAAAAGCAGTGCGAGGCAAACCGGCGTGCGCAGGCGCGTTACCGTCGTCGGAGCTGGAGCCCCGCGGCCGACCGCGCGGCTGGTACTTCATCTGCACCTTGCGGTTGATGCCCGAGAAGTGCCCGTACCTGAAAACGTACATTAAAAAAAAAAGAAAAACTGAACGCAATAAAAGGAAGAAAGAATTCTATGTATATCACTAGACGTGCTCTGCGGTCTTAATTAATTGCACGCTAAGCGATGGTCAATTCTCCGGAACTCTTTTAGTCGACTGCGGGCGTGAACACTAGTTCCTTGTTTTTTAACTGCGAACGTTTTTGACAATCTAACCCCGATTTTGTTTAATGTGACTAAGAAAACGCTGTCATTATTTAATGTGCGCACTGCAAATGTGCGCAATTAGGATGTTGTTTTAATTTTAATAGCCTCACGTATCATCCTTGGTAGGAATCGATGTTCTTTCGCGAGGATTTTCCTCTTCCTCCTCGCGAAAGAACATCGATTCCTACCAAGGAGAACGTGAGGCATTGAAAAAACATCCTAATTTCAATAGAGAAGGAGGCTGGGTACTACCACCTGCTTGGGATCCTATAATTAATAAAATTAAAACTAAACCCAAGCATACCACCGCAAGACTTCAAAATACAGTTAGTTCATTCTGCGTAGATCGGACCAAAGACAATAATTAAAAAACTGAAGGTACTCCGGGTTAACTTTGACATCGGGACGTCAGTCACCACAGTCCCCCGTGACTATGGGTGCTGGAAAGCACCCGAAACGTCGGGTATTAAAATTAATATATATAAAACGCGATAAAATCCGTAAAAGTAGTTTTAATCAATGTATAGTGTTCGCGTAAATATAAGAAAAAATATGATCGAGTTTTCTAAAAAAAGTTATTTCTATACGTTTGAATACTGATTCTGATAACGCAATTAACGGGTACCACAGGGTTTTTGTTACATGTTGTATACTCGTAACTTTTCATATTTGCCTAAAACAATAACTGTCTGTAATGAAAATACAACAGCGCTAGCGCGATCTACAACTGGCACACCATTTTTATTCAGAATTGCCGGTCTAGTAGCATATATAGAAGTCTTTGAAAACAAACAATAAAATAAGAAATGTTATATACAGGCTGTCCCAGGAAACCTCTATCAGCGAAGGTGTGTGGTCTGGGGACACCAATACCGTATCGATTCCATGCATGTTCTTGATAGACAGGTTAGATGTAATTTGAACCAGCATTGCCCAGAGATCCCCAGACTGATTCTCGCCTCCAAGATCCCCAGATCTGAATCCTATAGATTTTTTTATCCGGCGGTGTATAACGAATTAGTGTACAATCGCGAATTTTATAGATTGAGAGTTAAAAACTAAATTAAATGAAGCTGAAGAAATAATAAGACAAAACACCCACGCCTTTCGAGTTTTGCGCGGTAGTTTTTTTGCGTGAGTGCCGTTTGTGCATTGAGCCAGGTGTCAGGCACTTTGAACATTTATCGTGAAAACAATAATATATAAATGATTTCTTAAAATTATTTATTATTATCGTAATTTCCCGAACACTGCACAACCGAGTTGAATCCGTCGATTAACCTCTCGGTATTGACTTATTTGTCCCAGATAAATATATTCGTCAACAACTTCGAGCTTAGTGCTCCCAACAACTACTGGTGTGACATGGATGTTACACATGATCTTTGTTCTGCGAAATATTAAAGAACTATTCAAGAGTATCTTAATTTGATAATATATCCGAGTAGAAGTAATTGTAATTATGCAGATTTTGAATTTTTTAAATTATTGTTTCTAACAAAAAAACGATAAAATAAAGCCCGGATTCAACAGAGGTCAAAGTCCTTTTGATATTAACCCTTCAATCCCCATGAAATTCCCATGCAGTCGCATGCGTCCGACAAATCCCGAGCGGTCGCATGCGACCGCACACACCCACAGCACTTTAATCCATTAAGAATAATATTTAGATACTACTTTTCTATGAAGAAGTTTGGCATTATAGAATTAATCAAATCCACTTAATATATCCATGGAGTAATTGATTTGTTTAGACCACAGATTAGAAAATTTGGTATAGATTCGACAATGCCAAACTTGTTCATAGAAAAGTAGTCTCTAAATATAAGTATTGTTACGAGCTTGAGGTTCGTGACAATAAAAATTGCCGATAGAATTAAACACTTTAATTCACTTTACACTAATTAAAGTTAAAAACACTAATAATTAATCACACTGATTCACTTTATTCCGCTCCGAAGCTTCGCTTGTCTCGCCAACTTCAATACTTCCCCCATCGCATCTTGCAGCGCCTATTTATATAAATTAGCACGGAAATATCCAGAATATTCAAGTAAACACGCGCAAGGTACCGAGTGTTCGAGTTTCAACTAGGCGCTAGTGCCGTCGACTAAGGCGCGTAACACTGCCCCCTCCTAAGACATGCTCGTCCCGAGCATTATCGGCCCCATAATAACGCGCCAGGCGATCCACAAAGACGATCTTAGGAGTCCCTCTTGCGCCTTTTTGTATCCGGTAGGTTACATCGTTGATCCTGGTCACAATCCGGTACGGGCCATCCCATTTAGCTTGAAGCTTAGGAGATTTCCCTTTGCTGCGGACGGGATTATGCAACCACACTAGTGAACCTTCGTCGAACCCTTTGTTGTTCATTTTGCGGTCGTACCAAGTTTTCATCTTTTCAGACATTTGCTGGCCAGATTGTCTGACGTGCTCATAAATGTCATTCATTTTGTTCCGTAAGTCATTTGCATAATCGGTCATACTACGTGGAGCATCAGGTGGTATCCCGGTGATCAGGTCTGCAGGCAGCCGTAATTCTCTTCCAAAGTTTGCGAAAGCTGGTGTCACTGCTGTACTTTCGTGAACAGCGCTTCGATATGACAACAAAAACGGTTGCATGTGCTTGTCCCAATCTCGTTGCCGATTGTCTACAACTTTTGCTAGGTACCTCTCCAATGTCTGATTAAATCGTTCTACCATTCCATCAGATTGCGGGTGATAAGAAGTCGTTCTTGTTTTATGAGTACCCATAACTCGGCAAGTTTCCTGTAATATTTGAGATTCAAAATTCCTTCCTTGATCGCTGTGAATCTCTAAAGGTACTCCAAAACGACAGAAGACTTCATAAACTAGTTTATCTGCAACTGTTGAAGCTTCTTGATTTGGAATGGCGAAGACTTCTGGCCACTTAGTGAAGTAATCCATCACAACCATGAAATACTTGTTACCGCTTTCACTCTCCGGAAACGGCCCCGCCACGTCAATGGCTATTCTCTCCCATGGTGCACCAACATTGTACAACTTCAATGCACCTCTACTACGAGTCTGAGGTCCCTTTACAGCCGCACAACTTGTACATTTGCGACACCAGTCCTCGACATCGTTTCGACAGTGGACCCAGTAAAACCGTTCTCGGATCTTCAGTAGAGTTCGTTTAACTCCCAGATGGCCACCGGAACAATCATTATGGTACAGCTGTAGAACATCCGGTACTTTAGCTTTAGGGACAACCATTTGCAAGTGACAGCTGTCTCCCCGAACATTTTCCCATTTACGGCACAGAACTCCATCCTGAAGCAGCAAGCTGTCCCATTGGGCCCAATAGCTTTTAGTGGTCGAACTCATCGCTGAGACGTCGCTCCACTTGGGCTTGGGAGCACTGGCCTTCATCCATTCCAGAATCGGCTTGATGTCCGGATCTTCCTGCTGTGCATGTTGTAAGCTGTCCTTCCACTCGTTGCTGAGGTGGTCTGTCCTGAGCATCCTCACGGATACCACTTCCTTACTCTCCTGCCTAGTACAATGTTTGCAATCTTCAGGACAAGGTCTTCGTGATAATGCATCTGCGTTGCCATGAGATTTCCCGCTGCGATGTTCGATCTCAAAGTCATATTCCTGCAGTAGTTCAATCCACCTCGCAACTTGTCCTTCTGGATTTTTAAACTGCAATAGCCATTTTAGTGCAGCATGGTCAGTTCGTAAGTGAAATTTCCGCCCCAGAAGATATTTGCTAAAATGCTGCAATGACTTTACCACCGCTAGCAATTCGCGTCTTGTGACACAATAGTTCCTTTCCGGTTTTGACAATGACTTGCTGAAGTACGCTATCACGACCTCTTGGTCACCATTCCGTTGAGACAACACACCGCCAAGTCCTATATCACTTGCGTCTGTGTCAACTATAAATTCTTTGCTTGCATCAGGGTATCCCAAAATAGATGTTTTGCACAGACGGTCCTTGAGCTCCTGGAATGCGATATTGCAACTTTCATCCCAGCAGAAATGTCGCTTCTCCTCGGTTAGCTTATGCAGAGGTTTGGCGATATCTGCAAAGTTCTTCACAAATCGCCGGTAATAGGAGCACAAACCCAAAAATACTCTAACCTGCGTCTTGTCTTTTGGAACCGGCCAATCCTTGACAGCTGCTATTTTCTCTGGATCCGTGCGGATACCTTCTTCCGATACTACATACCCCAAAAGTTGACCTGCCGTTTGAATAGTGAACATTTCTTCGGACTCAACTTGAGGTTGGCACTCTGAATCTTCATGAGCACGCGTTCCAGGTTTTGAAGGTGTTCCTCAAACGTACGGCCCACGATGATGATGTCATCCAAGTAGACCCAGGCATCGCCAATTAGCCCGGTGAGTACAAGTTCCATCAGCCTTTCAAACGTTGCTGGAGCATTGCACAACCCAAACGGCATTACTTTAAATTGCCACAGACCCTTTCCCGTCGAGAACGCGGTTTTCTCCTTGTCCTTAGGGTCAATTTCAACTTGCCAGTAGCCACTTTTTAGATCCAGCGTGCTAAACCACTTTACTCCTGTAAGCATGTCCAGCGTGTCATCAATTCTTGGCAAGGGACAGCTGTCCTTCTTCGTAACGTCGTTCAGACGGCGGTAGTCAACACAAAACCGCATGCTGCCATCCTTCTTCTTTACCAGCACCACGGGTGAACACCATGGACTAGAGGAAGGTTCAATAACACCATTTTTCACCATTCCTTCAATCATGGTTTCTACTTCCTTTTCACGTGCTACCGGCAGTCTTCTTGGTCGCTGACGGATAGGCAATTCTTCTCCTGTGTTTATTTTGTGTTGAACTAAGCCAGTCTTTCCTATGTCAGCATCGTTTGATGAGAATACATCGGCGTACTTGAGTAACAACTTCTTTGCCTTGACCATTTCGTTCGGGGAGAGAACGCTGCGACAGTCTTCCATAAGTGTGGTCACTCTCGTTTGTGCATCCTTGCTAGGGGTCTCACTCGATAGATATCGGCACCGACGTAACCAATCCACTTCCTCACAAGTACCAACCAGCGTGCCTTTTTCTATAATCTGTTCCCGGTCACAAAGGTTCAGCACACGTACTCCTGAGATGTCAGTGGTCCTGACCAAGGTTCGAGCTACTTTCCATGGAAGGTCATTGTTTACCCTTTTCACAAGTACACAACGGTGAGCTTGCCCAGCGTTTCGAGGAAGACTAACCGGCACAATCGTTTCTGATCTCGGCGGAAGAACAATCTTCTTAATGCTGTGCACGTTCCCTGGTAACGCACCTTCCATAAAAAGTTCCTCCTGTCCACATTTCAAAACACCTTGCTTAACGTCGATCTCACAACAATTATTCCTCATAAAGTCTAGGCCAAGGATGCAGTCGTCCATTATATCAGCCACGATGACATTATGCAGGTAGATCACGTTGCCTAGTTTCAACTCCATCTCCTTCTCTCCACAGATAGGTATACGCTGACCGGTGGCTGTTACCAAATTAATGCGTTCTCGGTTGTATGCGGAGTCCCCAAGGAACTGACTTATAAGTTGGGAACTAACAACCGTACGAGAGGCTCCAGTGTCTATGGTCAGTTTACACGGCGTTCCGTTGACCTCGCCCTTGATGATTAGACTGTTCCCATCATGGGTTTGTGAGATCGAGATCCTTGGGGCTCTTTTAACATCAGCCAGCACCCGCCCCGCAGTTCTGGCTTTTACTCGTTTCCCTGCTGCTGCTGAGCGGTGCTGTTGGCCGCACTACCCTTCTGAGGTCGTTCACCTTCCCTTTCTAGGGTTCGCTTAGGGCAGCTGGATCGAAGATGGCCCTTTTCCACACAGCCATAGCACCTAGGGCTATATCCTTTGTTGCGGTCGCGTACTGTAGCTGCTGCAACCTCCCTGATGCGATGGGAACGATGATCCTGCCGCACGGCTTCCACCTCCAGTGCATGGGCCAAGGCGTCCTTAAGCGTGTCGTGGTGCCCGAGTCTCACAGCAGCTCTGACTTCAAGGTCGCGGATGCCGTCGATGAATGTCTGAACCAGGTTCCCTTCAATAAGCGCAGGTACAGACTGGTATGCTTTTCGAACCATCTTCTCCACCTCAAGGGCCCACTGCTGCAGGTTTTCGGTGCTGCGCTGCACGCGATCTTTAAGCTGCGCGCGAAAGACGTGTTCCAGGTGAGCGTCGCCATATCTCGCCTCCAAGGCCTCAAGAAGCTGCTCGTAGGTCACTTTCTTACCGAGAGCTTCCAACACAGTTAAGGCTTGGTCGCGCAGGCCTAGGGTGAGTGCAGTCATGGCTTGGCTTTTATTCCAGCCGTTCGCCTTCATGACGGCCTCGAACTGGATTTTGTAGGCCGACCAGGAAGAAGTCCCGTCGAACGGCGGCACTTTGAATCCACGTAGCGAAGGTATTGTAGCTACTACGAGAGCTGTTGTTCCATCCCCAAGTTTGAGGTCGTCCAGCGTTTTCTTCACGTCAGCCATTACGTTGTCAACCCGATTGTTTACTTGGTCGATTCGGGTTTCGGCCTCCGACAGGCGGTTGTCATGTTGAGCAACCTTATCCTTCACCTACCGTATCTCTTTTCCGAAGATAGCGTGAAGGTCCTTCATGTGGAGCATCTGCTCTTCCTTATCGCGTTGGAGTTGCTCTTCTAAACGACGGGCCTGTTCCTCCTGCCGGCGGGCCTGTTCCTCCTGCCTGCGGGCCTGTTCCTCCTGTCCGCCCCGCAGCTGCTCTTCCAATCGGCGGGCCTGTTCCTCCTATCCGCCCCGCAGCTGCTCTTCCAAACGACGGACCTGTTCCTCCTGTCGGCGAGCCTTCAGCCGGCGGCTGGCCCTCCGACGTCTGCGACGTTGCACCACCAAATCTTCTTTGGTCCGTCTCCTGCTGGCGTTGACTTCGGGTACGGACGCCCTCCGTTTCCTCCTTAGGTAAAATCGGCATGATTTTATCCCACTTCTGACACCAATTGTTACGAGCTTGAGGTTCGTGACAATAAAAATTGCCGATAGAATTACCTAAATTAACACTTTAATTCACTTAAAAACACTAATAATTAATCACACTGATTCACTTTATTCCGCTCCGAAGCTTGGCTTGTCTCGCCAACTTCAATACTTCACCCATCGCATCTTGCAGCGCCTATTTATATAAATTAGCACGGAAATATCCAGAATATTCAAGTAAACACGCGCAAGGTACCGAGAGTTCGAGTTTCAACTAGACGCTAGTGCCGTCGACTAAGGCGCGTAACAGTATTTATGGGTTAAAGTGTTGTGGGTGGGTGCGGTCGGATGCGACCGCTTGGATTTTGACGGAACATCGCCTTGGTCGGATCCGACCGTGTGTCCATTGAAAGGTTAAGTTTCCCCATTTAATCTCTTTTGCTAGGTGAAATGAAAAAAAATTGAAGACTTACATCTCCAACACACTTTTAAGCTGCTCTAGCTTGCCCTGTTTCTCTTCTATCTCAGGGTCTGCGTGACGTGTGTGTATATCAGCTAGCAAGGCTCGCGAGATGTCTAAAATCTCTTGTAACTGTTTCGGTCGCTTAAGTTTAACGTGGCCTCTTTTAAACCCCTCATATTTCTCAAATATCTCGAAGAATCTGCAACATTTATCGAAACGTAAGAACAAGTTTTCGTTAAAAATAAAATACAGATTCTTTATAGATTTCTTAAATACCAGATGCAAAAAGTAGTGACTGAATATTTTAGTGGCATTTTGTGCAGTTTGATGAATTCACAAATTAACTAAATAAAAGTGGAGTATGAAAGTTTTTAAAGGACCACAGACTATCCGTCTTACATTTTAGTAAAGAGCATATAAATGCGTGAGGCGGCTTGAAGCAACTGGACGAGAAGCCAAAGATCAGGCTAAATGGCGCGGATACAGAGAGATATATTCAACAGTGGACTGCCTCAGACTGATGAACATTATGGGATTAATAATATTATACAGGATTGCTTCGCAGTAACCGCCAAATTTGCAAAGAAGCTTCAGAATAAGTAATATAAGCAAATGGTGAAGAAAAATTAATTAAAAAATCTCAAACATGTCCTTTTTGTGTTTTAAATTCAAAATGCGTGGTTATGAATTATTTTAACTGATTTTACTGTATGCACATTAGGGTGGAGTGATAATGTAAGAAATTTTTTTTTGTTTTTTTTTTTGATTGCATAGCGATAAAAATTTGCCTTTCATTGAGTAAATCCTACATACAAAATATTATTTACTTATCATGATGTCTTGAGGTGCCCCAAAACAATTGAAAATTTGAAAAAAGCGATGAATGTCGTAGCACACCAGGCGGGAACAAAGTTCCTTACGCTACTCTATATATACCTATGTGTTAGTGTAGTAGACACCATCAACAGAGTAACAGCTTAGGAATCGGTTAAATAAAGTCTGGTTAAATATAAAAAATACATATATTAAAAAAATAAGGTAAAACTAAGTAATTATGATAGATTTGGATATCGTTCAGAAACACAGTAATTAAATATTAAATTGTTTTTTTGTATCAAAATTTGGCATTTGCTGACGTGATAATAATCGTGCCCTTATGAAACCGTCTTGTTTATTTTCTCCACAAACTGCACTTGAAGCTTCAGTCACCAATTTTATGCAGCGCTCTACGGCTTGGGTGTGGCATGGGAAATCTTTTATACTCTGACATGTTCTCAAACCGCATTTGACAATCTCTTTCAAGAATTCATCAGATAAATTGTAAGTCAGAGGTGGCTCAGTTATTTTACAGTCTTGCCACTTAATGAGGTCGGTATAATCTTCAGCATCGAAATTTAAAGGAGGCACTTTGAACGTTCGAAGTCCTTGATCATTCTCTGCTCTAGCTTTCAAAATTTGTTGACATGCTAGTTCTCGAATGATTTCTCTGTCATCTCCAAGCATAGCAATAAGAATATTTTCTGGGTGCCCGAAATATCCATTTCGTATGAGTACCTTATCAATGACTATCTTCAAATCCGCGCTCAAATAGCGAGTCAGGCTAATCGTTTGCCACAGGTGCTTAGCTCCATTTATGCATGATGGATTACACTTTATAGTGAACCACATCGGACCATAAACTTTCATCACGTATGTGGCTAATATCATTAAGTTTTCTAGGGGGTCTGTTTTAGTAGCATATAATCTTAGAATTCGATTTGCTGTTGTAAGCCATCTAGAATGGCTAAGGGGTCCAGGTTCGATATTAGCCAAATCGGAAGTAAAGACGCCAGTGCTGATAGCGTTCATCACATCATAAAGATATTTTTGGTCGGTGCTCAAATCATTTCTAGGAATTTCAGGTAATGTTGAAGGAATGACGGTAAATTCGACAATTGGCATTGTTTCACATTTTTGTAATTCAGAGCCGATAGGACCTGAAAAGCATTTAGGCCCTGTGGTTTTTCCATCCAAATGTAATAACAGATGTCGCAGTGGTAACTCATTTGAATGCAATTGGCAGATAAACCACTGTAATGGTTTCTTAAGTTCTTCTTCCATCAAACGAACAACACCACCTTTGGAACCTGTGTTCACGACAGTTCCATCGCAACCAACAACAGCTATTTTATTCAGATCCACCGATTTCATTTTCAGGTGACGTATAATTGTACTTTGAATACCTTTAGCGGTTCCCAACTCACACGTAACATGCCCGAAATAATCACTTCCTGGCTCCGATAAAATCACATAATGGTCTTCTGTTACTCTTTTTCTGTAAAATTTGCCTTCCTTCTTAATATTTACTAAACTCTTATCCTTTCTGCCATCAAAATAAATACCGCGTATGATTTTATTACGATCTGCGTCTTGTAAAGATGATCTGACTTTAGTTCTTTCACGACGCAACTTAGAACGATCAATGACACCGCTTGGATCCTTCGTTGAAATAATGCCAACATCTTTTAACACAGAAGAAGCTATAATAGCAGCGGCTCTGTCGGAGACTCCAGTACGATCGCAAGCGAGGGCTAATGATGATAAATTTAACTTCTTTTTTTTTGGTGGTGGTGGGGTTTTTGGTAGTCTCGCTACGTGTTTTGGCGATTGATAAGGACTAGAAGCTACGCTATTGCTTGAACTGGTGCTTTCGATCGTCAAGTCATCATCATGAGGCAACGAACGAGAACAACACGGTTTGTTGGGATCAAATATCTCTTTGTTACGCAATAAACTTTTTTCTTGTCTTTCTAGTTTTCTCTTATTTTTTACAGTTGTAACCAAATCTACACCACCTATCATCATTTTTCTTGTTGTCCTTTGGTCGAGTAAAAATTTTATTTCTTCCTTGGGAACACGACTGTCTTTTGAACAAGTGCAATCTGAAATAAGTTTGCATTTGCAACTGCAAACATCAAATAATCTATGAGACTCAGTTATGAATGTATTTATCTTCTCTTGATATTTTTTGTTTAATTGACGGCCTCGATAAGGTTTCATTAAGCTTCTATATTTGTCATGGTAGGATCGAATAAGTTGTAATACTCTCTTAAGACTGACTGTTGGCAGCGACGCTTTTCGCCAAATTTCTAAAACTTCCTGAGCCAATCTTTCGGATATGTCATGAATTGTCGGCTCTTTTGTTTTTTTGTCAGGCTTTAATTCATATTTAATGAATAAATAATTTTTCATTACATCATTATAAGTTGGTAATTGAGCTACGGGTAACTTCTCTGGTAAACCAAACACAGGACAGGATGTCTTTTGTCGTGTTTTTACTTGCGACATTTGACTGTAATAAAGAGAAATAATAGGTATGAATTCAATCAATTTTGATCTAAATTGCATTAACTATGAGCAGGAAATTGAAAATACTACTTACATGAGTCTTACTTCTTGATTTAAGTCGTTAAAATCAATGCTTTTCACAAGTGTAATAGTATTAAATCGCGCGCGCGGGTGCACTAAAAGGCATTCGAACGACGTTTGACGAGAGTAGTGTATTCACCTCCCCCGTGCCCCACAACCCCCGCTCCTCACCGCACACATTTCAAGGTCAAAATTGAATGTCTTGTACCAACAGGGTGACACTCTCAATATGACTTAGCGTTAATTAGACATTCGTGTGTTTTGACAAAATTTCGTGAATTTCTCTAAAGTTCATGATGTTGGGGGCACCTCCAAATATATCATATGTCAACCAAAATTTTGTGAGAATATTTGTAAGCTATAAGAGCAACTTTTTACAGGTATTACAAAACAATTACGAAAAAAAAAATTTTTTCGCTCCACCCTAATGCACATGCAGACAATTACGCATAATACAAAATAATAACATTAAGTTGTAAGGGTCGATCGGTTGGCAAAAACGTTGTTTCCCACAAATCACATCCAATTTGTAATAATTTTAAAACAAAAGTAAAAACCTTATTTATTGGTGTTTTTAAAAACCGCAATAGCGGTATATCACAATTATATTTGAAAATCTATTTGAACTTAAATTTAAAATTTGCCTACCCTTTGAAAAATAACCCTGTAATATACAAACCTCGGATGGCGCACTTCGACCTTCATCTTCTGTTTAGGTGTGCGGTCCCCGTGTCGTATGACGGCAACAACGCAACGCAGTTCCATCATCTTACCGAAGGTGGTAGGTACTATAGGCGGGTCGTCGAGCTGGAAGGGTACCGACCATGGAATGTGCAAAGTGGGCGCCAGTTCACGCAATATCATATTGCCAAGGATCTTCGCGCAGTCATCATAGTACTTGTTCGAGTTCTTCACGAACGAGAAACCGTTCACGTCGCATACAAACGACTTACCGTTCGCTCTGTTCAACAAATAGGATAGGTGATTTTAGACGCATGTAATTTAATTAGCATTTACATAACAAAAAATATACCGCGTCTTTATTTCTTTTTCGGCATGTTTGAATTACTACTACATCTGGAAAACTAACTTTTCTAGAGCTTGTCTAGAATACGCTACATCAGTCATTAGAATTACGGCGTGAACATAAGGATCAGGTGTTTTTGTTTAAACTTTTACATAACTATATATATTCCCCCAAGATGTATTTCATATAGATGCCCTAGCTTGAGTGCTCGTTCCAACGCAGTTTTCTTTACTACTTTTTGCAGAACTAAGTATTCGAAAAATCGTTTTCTAGACCGTATTTGTACACACACATAATGAGCGATATAACCATATTGATATATTTAACTGGAAACTAAGCGGTTATATTTCATCTATGATCACAGTGTGTGTACTTCTTGTTCTCTCTCTGAATATAAAATTACCTTTACTAACATTGACATTAGGCATGCATCAAGTATGTGACACTACATCTAACCTGACCTCCGTAATTATCACTTAAGCGCCATAGCGCTATATGGAATAAGGATAAGACGAGTGTATTTTTCGCATACACCATACATATGTGACACTAAGAGCTGCTCAATTATTTTCTACTAAAAACATCAGGAAATTGTCGCCGTTACCAATCTGCATGGAATTATAGCGTTTTTTTAAATACAATGTTACATAACTTGATTTTGAATGGTGAAATAATTATTGAAACAAAACAAATTCCAAATAACGTTTTATAACATTTTAGAAAACAACAAATTTTATGATTTCTAATGTTTACGGATACTAGACGACAAAATAATTTTATCGGGTTTAATTTACTTTTTTCATACTCCCGTTGTTTCAGTTATTTTATAGTACCCGTGGTCATGAGGAGAATGAGCTCCTGATTTCATAGTTATGTGGGGGATAGCCCCGCATAACTATGAAATCAAAAATTCAACTTATAATATATACGTGATATACAGAGTTGTTACGTGTTGTATACGTGATATAGGGTAGAGCCATGTTGCGGCGTATTAGGGCTGCAGGCACGAAACCGACCGGGGAACGACCGACCCCGCAACAAACATTTATCAATATAATCTACTATTGGTGATGATTAAAGATTCATAACGTGGTAGATCCATGCTGTAGCTATATTAGTAGTATAATTGTAGCAAGAATGGATCGGCTCGACCCGGGAAAGACCACACTCTCACAGAATACCAGCGTAAAATAATAGCTCAACGCTGCTGTATTTCGTATGGTGATATCGAGAACCTAGTCCTCACGGATAACAACGCATTTGCATTTTGATTCTTAATCGAGGATAGAAGTACACGTCTATGGGCCACAGCAACCACTTACCATCAGGTGGACCGTGTGCTCGTTTGTCACCCTTATGCTATAAAAAAAAACATGTGGGTCGTCGGCCTTGGGGAATAGGATTCGAATCATCGCTTCACATAGATATATCTTTGGGTGTAATAAATGCTAAAAGCTAAAAATCTCCGTGGTAAAGCCACACTGAAAAAAATTATGGATCAAATGGGTCGGTTCCAACGAAGTAGGACCACACTCTTACAGAATTCCAGCGTGAAATAGCAGCATAATGCTGTTGTATTTTGTAAAGTGAGTGACAAGAACAGGAGACACATTTTACTATTAACAAACGAGGCATTACACTGACGGTGTAAGAATATCAAGAAGAAACCAGAAGATGAGCAGCAGCTTCTTCCTAATAACAACTATCTACAAGGTTTTTCGAAAATTATAGGCATAAACTTACACATACGTGTTAAATTATTGTTTTATTTTGGAAATTTGTTGATATGAACATTCAAGGTAGTAATCATTTTACATTTTTGTTGATTATTTGAATGAGCTATATTTTCTTCAAGTAAACAGTTAGTTAGTGATAGTTTTAATAATAAATTAAATAACCATGAACCCGGCCCGGACATTTTCCTTGATGCTTTACCATCCTATTTATAAATAAAATAATATGGATATGAAAAGAATAAGTCGCTCACCTCAATAAATCAAAACCGCAAACAGTTTGTTTAAAAGCCAAGCATACTTTTCTCGATATCAACTTCTCTTGATTGGAGAGAATAACAGGATATCGGATCTCCTTGCCCTCAGAGTCACGTTCCACTTTGCCGTCAAGGGCAGGACTTTTCCGAGCTTCAGCATGCGCATAATCTGGCCCCACCGTGTACACTTTTACGTCTGTTCCTGGTATATTATTAAACGTACCAATTATTAATACAAAATGCCACGGTGTTATTTTTTCAATTGTACCGCTTCAAGAAAATAAAATGATCATAATCCGATATTTCCGGCTTTGAGTTCCTCCAGCATCAAAAAAATTTAAATCAGCGATTGCTAACTTTAAGCACTAAGTATAGAAAATATTTTAATTGTAAAAGTAAATACGCACCATCTGTAGGCATAAAATCTTCGTAAATAAACGAGCCGGTCTTCCTTACTCTAGATTCCGGAGAATATATACTACTCCGACTACCAATCTAAAAACATAAAAATATAATCAGGGCTTAATTAAATTGAATCGTAACAGCTATTTTCTAAGACAACAGAAATGCGCCAACCTTTCTGAACAAACGCTGGCTTCCACCACCAGCCGAAGTCGGATAATAAATGTAAATATTGTGGTCCTCTGCCGACACCGGTTTTTCCACGAAAGGTTTGTTAAATACAACACCATTCACTTCTACGTGATCCTCCGATTCCACTAACTCGTGGTCTGTTCAGAAGGAAAACAATACAGTATGAGCTATCATATTACATAGTAATGACTTACGAGTTGTGATGGATCAATAACAAAGTAACATACGTTTTGGATCCGGTGAATCTCTATCTAAGACAGCATATCTTGGTATCTCAATACCCTCACCTTCTAATATAGCATACACTCTTCGACGATCCTGCATAAAAAAGTTATAATACAGTCCTTTGTTCAGCTTAATTTGATTTCCTTTCGTAAATCTCTAATTATTTTAACTTACATTAATATGACGACTCCGTGGCGCAGTGGCTTAGCAATGAGTGGCTGCGCTGGGGGTCGCGGGTTCGAATCCCGCACGGAACAAGTATTTGTATGGCCTACAAGTAGTTGTTCCGAGTCTGGATGTTCGTCCTTGTGCAATTTATGTTTGTAAACTGCCCCCACAATACAAGAGAAAATCTTAGTGTAGGGGTAACGTTTTTTAAAAAGAATAAATCAAATAAATCAAATCAAATCAAATATTGTCATTGAGTACCTGAATATCATATTGCATGTGAAGATTGTTTATAACATATGGTTTCCTTAACTTCTCATACTGAATGGCTTTATCGAGAGGAAAGCCTTTAGAATGAAAGGAGATTAAGCAATCACAGATCGGCCACTCCTCAACCGGTTTCTGCAATAAGTTTATTTATTGTAAAAATTTGTAAATATTTCACATAAGTTGTTTTAGTGACGCTTTTAAATGATATTAGCTTGGATGGCAAGTAGGTGATTGTTTTCAAAAACATGCAAGTGAATATGAGGCATATGGCCCATTTTAAACTTTATATTTAGAAGTTGTTAATAGGGAAACAATTTATTATATTGAAGCAGTAGTGAAACAAAATAAGCATTTGCACCATAGTAATATACATTAAACTTTTTCAACGTACAACTTTAAAACAGAAAAACAAACAAACATTCTTAAATATTTTATTCCACTACAGAGGTTAGATAGTTAACAGAACCTTAAGGATAACCTCCTCAGGGAAAACTAGCATCTTGATGTATTCAAATTCGTCAAGGCGAGTAAGTATTTCCTTCATGGGCTTCGATTGCGACTTCTTGGCCATGGCGCATACGCCGACCACCACTTTCTTACCCCCGCCATCACAGTGCGGATCTATGGGTTCGCACAGATCTAATTCGCCCTGGGAAATAGCAAAAATATACAATATGAAACTAATTTTGTCATAAGAAATTTATATTTTAATACAAATCTTAAATTTCCAGGTATTGTTACTGTAAATAAAGAAATGCTGCAAGAAACGAAGCGTTTCAAATGTAGCGAGTACACTAAGCTCGGACATCTGTTTGAGACTTGCTTTTCTGAATTGTCTGGTCCAGCTCTTTTTTTACAAGTAAAAACCCTAAAGGCATGGACCGATAATGCGGCGCACATGATGTATGAAATTATGAAAATTTGTAGAGCAGTAATTTAAGTAAATACTTGAAATGTGCCAGGCAGCGTAACCAATTGCAAAATGGTCCAATCAAACCTAATAGAATATTAGAAAAATTTACATCCCATGGGATCCTATTATCTTGAGTACATTATCCTTAATGGTTTGGGGATTATACTTTCGGCCAAACCATTGGTAGCCGAGTGATAGTGTTTAATTTTAATTGTTTCAAGAAATATTTATTATTTCTTGATACAAATAGGCACTGCATTTAATATTCCATATGTTGCGAACATTTTTTTACTTATTTTAAGGTAGGTTCAATTTTTTTCATATTCCTTAGATATCGAATAATTGTTCTAGAAGTCATATTATTTGTTACGAAAATCTCTGGCTACCTCGAAAAAGCATCGAAGACAATCAAAAAATGTTTTATTTTGAAAAGGTCCCTTATTTTAGTAGGTTTGGACACGTTTTCTTTTAACATTTTAAGCATACACCAACAAAAACTTAAATGTCGTGATTTAACTGTGGCCACCTGTGATAACGTCTGGCCCATGCCTTCGTTTACACGACACATCGGCATTTTGAGGGTATATGCTGACCAATGATTTATGGTTGCTCTGTGTATACGTATAAGACTTGCCTATTATATTATAATTAAGAAATTTAACTAATGTACTCCAAAAATAAAAGCAGTGGCCTCATTCTCAAACCTGTCAGTATATGTAAAATAAATATGTGAAGGTAAAATGGTAGTAAGAAAATAAAGCAGTCTGCACGCTATCCAAGGTTTCATTACGCCGTCCAAGAAATAGAATATAGCGCAGGTAAGATAAGACAAAATCTCGTTTTTTGCAGTCGTAACCATATAAAATAAAAGTTAAGAAATCAAATGTACCTATATAAACACTTTTGTTTGTCGGTGTGTGCTAGATATTGAACTAAAATCTGTCTCGTGTCTAAAATGGAATTAGTACGATATATAAATCGGTCCGCCGCCATTTCATTAAGCGAACAATATAGAAAATTTAACTCCTGTAAATACATTTGAAGACTGGCAAAAATTGAAAACTGTATTTATCATAAACGAAGCGTGTAAATCATAGAATACTATAATACATAATAGAATGGCTATCAACCTTATTTTGTACGAGGATAGGAGTCACCGGCGGCACACATACAAGCAATTACATCGTATTATCAGTTAATCACTACTACAAACCCGATTCGCTGTGTTGACAGACGGATTTTAATACATATTTATTTGTAACTAGCGTGCAATTTGACATTTTCTAAATAATTTGCATGCGAAATTTTGAAACGATTGTAACGTCAAAACACATCTCGTGTTGAATGTTGATATTTATGTGTGAATTGACGTGTTAGTGACATTTTAGTGGCTACACGGACTCCGCCCACTCCCCCGTTCTATTATGTATGTATTATAGTATTCTATGGTGTAAATTATCAAAGAAAAGTTAAAAAGTACGAATAAATACATTTTTACATTTAATGGCAAAAAATAAAAATGTTATGTACTGTGTTACGGCATCGTTTTTCTACTCGCGTTTGAACTTGAGAAAATGGCGGTGAACTGTGTATTTATTTGGTAATTTATGTGAAGATTTAATTGGAGACATATTAATTTATAACATAAAGGAGAATGCATTAAGATCACGTTTATTACGTGAGTCGGACTTAAAATTACAAAAAACTTTGGACATCTCTAATTTAGCTCAGATGTCCAAGGTACAAGTGGGATCTATTAATATGAATTTTGCAGAAGATGCATATACTATTAAAAATACAATGACAGAACCGAAGATAGTTGTTATGAAAAGCGTCAGCCATGCACTCGGGATGTCACGACGAGAGGCGAGAACGCAAGTTCATGGTAGACTAGAGACACGACGCCTCCGAGATGTTTTTCATATGCCTAACTTCGAATCAAAACAGATACAAATTAATATACACAACAAAAGAGTTCAAGAATTTTAAGACGAATTGCGTCAAAATGTGGGACAGTGCATATGAATAAAAATTGCCCTGATTACGGTGGATATCTGAACTGTAATAAATTACTTATCAATCGCTTTTCGCGAGTATGTAAGTTTATGATATGCAAGCCGAGGAACTCTCTAATCAGATCATTTATTATTTTAATAAGCCAAATACTAAATGGTGTATAAAATTTCACAATGCACAATACTGATATCTTCTAGCTTAAAGTTAGATACGGGGCCTGATAAGAATGTAGATATTTAACACAATTAGGTACGTATTTGAAAGGATAATTACTACTAGATTTTATAGCAGAAGTAACGACAACGGCCGCCGCCTACTTTAGGCTGTCAGTCTTGTCAGGAACCAAATTTAATAAAAAATAACATTAGCCCGCATTAGCTGAAAACAGTAACAATAATTTTAGAGTGATTTTTTTTAATGTTTTAATGGATTAGGGTGCTTTCCAGGGAAGTATAAAATAGCCATAGATGAATGGATTCGCCTTGCTGTCCATGCTCCTCCTGCAATTTGTTTATTTATAGGTACAATAAATTTATTGAAATGGGACAGCGACAAATCATAGCTAAAGTAGAAGTTCCTAGTAGTTGGGTAAATAGTATGACAGTGGTTAAGAAACCTATTGGTGACATACGTATCTGCTTCAACCCCCTAATGATTAGAATAAGTATATAAAGCGTGAACACTTTCATTTACCGACGTTAGATAACATAACAAACTTAGTCGGGTCAAAGTATATTATATATAATAGACCAACTAAAATTGTATTTACAAGATACCCTATTTCTGATATAATTATGTCAGATAGCGGTCCAGAATACAATTCCGATAGATTTAGAAACTGCGCACGAATGGAATTTTCATCATGTCACATCATCGCCTTGATATCCACAATCAAATGGACAAGTGGAAAGAGCAGTTCAAACTTCAAATGATAGAAAATATGATATGAAAGACTTGTTTTAATTACGCCTATTAGCTATACAGCTTACCATCACCATCAGAATTATTGTGTGATAAAAAATTAAGAAAAATTATTTCCTGCTAACCAGGAGTGCTACGTCCATCCACTCACTGAATATTCACTGAACTTAAATGAAAAACAAGCGCGACAAGTCTTAATATGATAAAAAAACTGGCCAAGTTATTGCCCGGTCACGCACAATGTATGGTATGGTAGGGTTCCGTAGTTGCCCGTCACAATACGTGAGCTTTCTTGATAATGAGCATAATAAGTGAGTTTGCGGTTTGACCATTATAACGAATAAAAATGGGTCCATATGGGAAGATGAAGGACTTATTTTCAAATTAGACTCATCGGAAGTGATATTCAAAAAGATTTTTTTATAGGATAGGGTGATAAACGAGCACACAGTCCACCTGATGGTAAGTGGTTGCTGTGGCCCTAGTGTTGCTCAAAATCGGCCTTGGTCTTGCAGTCTTGGTCTTGTTCTTGCATTTTTGCAAGACCAAGACCAAGAACAAGACCGCCTAATTTTAGCAAGACCAAGACCAAGACTGACCGTGCAAGATTTGAGCAAGAACAAGACTAAGCCTGCGAGACTCTTGCGTCTTGCAGTTAGGAATGAGTATCGTTTCAGGGAGTATAGGAGTTCGGGTATACGCTTAGGGACTCTATGAGACGCAAAAACTATATAAAAAATTTGGAAAATTGGACTTATGCGCATTACGAACAATACCATAAACATACATAGCGGATGAAAATATCCATTAAAAGAAAAAACAGTGCATCCTTAGTTTTGACCATCGGCACTTCGATAGTGCGCGACGTCTTGTTGTCGGCATCATCAAAGGTCGAATACTGACCTGTCAAAGAAATTTTGCAGCTATTCGGAAGTACAAGGTCAAGATACACGCGCCGGCGGCTTCTATTGATATCGCATTCAATCGTCGCCGCCGCGCCGCACGCACTACATTTGACACTGTACACAGAATACATGTTCCAAAGAATAAAATAAGTTTCCGGGTGCTCAGAATGGACACGAATACATTATGCTGATCTCGCAAGGAATATTGTAATTAGATAATGGTAAGGATAGTGTTGGCGACGCGCCTATAAAAATATTTCAGTTTATTAAGTCAACCGATGACGAATAACGTCTCAAAGGCATATTGTCCAATAGCAATGTTCTAATAAGAAAATGCTTAGTTAAATCTTGAAGAAATGTCGAATTAATGATATGAAGGTCTTGAGTTCGACTCCCAGGCCGGACTAGTTTATTGTTTTCCTAAGTAATATCTTTCAATAAATTCATATAGGGAATTTTAAGATATAAATTATGTTACCGGATTGGTTCCCCGGTTGAAATCATCTTTCCAATGATGTAAATTTAAAAGAATAATTAAATAAAGTTAAAGATCGGATTTGTTCCCCGGTCGAGATGATCACTCTGTGCATAAATAGAATTAACGGAAATTAATTGCATAAGTATTGTCTTATATAAGTTTGATATGTTTTGTACGAAAACAAATGCCTATTTGCCATGATTGATTTATGAGAACATTCACTTATATTGTTATCTGATAAGAAACATGATAACTGATAAGAATCTGATTAGAAATAGTTTCCTACAGTTTGAAAATTGTGTAGATGCATTTATTCACCCAATATTGTTAAAATTGGTGTATATCAGACTTTCATTTTTTCTGATAGCCGAGAGCCGTGCAAAAGTTAGTTGTTCAAATAGTGAGTTCACGGAAGC